AAACTCATGCTCCCTCTCTAGATCATATATAGTAGTGTTATATTTTTCAAAAAATATTTAAATATAGAGGTGTGAACCCACGTTAATAGTAGCATAAAATATAATATAATGATGATTGAGTGCACCTCTCTAAGCAAATATAGAAATTTAAATCTTATATCTATCTTATTTTTTTTAGTAATAGTCCTCCAAGTGGTTATGAGTAACACTTTTGGCGTTTCAATCATTTTTTTCTTTAATCTTTCAAAAATTTTAAGTGTGTTACATTGGAAATTCCTAAAATTTTTTAGTAATAGTCCTCCTAGTAGTATTATATATGTTGAACCTATAATTTTTAAAATTTAACGGTTTAGTGTTAAGAACGTAAAGGTCAAATCAATTAAATTTATATCTTAGATGCATTTTTTCATAATAGTGCACCCATCCTTCCGAAATCCTGAATTCGCCTTTGAATACATGTATATTTATATTTGGCATTTAGATCTTGTTTACTTATTATAAATAAAAATACATAAAAAGTTAATTTAATAATCATTTTTACCGCAAGTTTTTAATAATATTTCCATAATAATTAAGTGCTATTATATATCATACATGTATATTAATATTTGATATTTAGATCTTATTTAGTTATCATAAATAAAAATATATAAAAAATTAATTTAATAATTTTGTATATCTAGAAGAAGTACTTAATATATTTGTTAACATAATCAAATCAATAGAAAAAGTATGAAGGTAATATTTTATACATAATACTAGTGTATCCTCTAATTCCTTTTCCTTTACTTAATCTATAGTCACACATTGATTTTGAACCATCACTGACACAGGAAAGTTAAAAAAGATATGAGTTGTTAGTATGTTGAGAAATACTATATAGTGACACAAGAACAACTGTTATCCAAGTTTGAAGTGCAAAAATACACAAAGAAAGTTGTTTTAGGGCTTAGTCACATTCACAACAGAGGAATAATCAGTCACTGTGACATGTAGTCACACAATATTCTTGTTGTGTGCAATGATCAAATTTCTAATATTGCAGATTAGATTACTGTATCAAGTAGTTGATACTAGTTTCTTTCTCCACAAAAGCAGCATGTCGAAACATTGGCAGGATGCCTGTGAATAACAGCAGGTAGAAACATTGGCAGGGCTTAGCTTGTTTGTGTTTTATTCAATAAAGAGTTGGATACTCTTCCCAAGTGAAACATATTACAGAAATAATTTTTATATTTATTTAGTTCATACAGACTATATCTGCATAACTTCTTTATAACCAAACATTATTGACTTGGGCCTCGAGAAATATCCCGAATGAACTTGTTAATATTACCTTGAATGGCTCCACTTTCAACTGACTCTTGAAAGATCTTTCGTATTCCCATTGATCTTTTCCTCATTTCTCTTCCGTGGTAGCTGTCAAGGTCCATAAAACTCTGCACAAGTAGAGCAATTTCATCTCTCTTCACCAGGTTCTCACTTTCCTTATTGACCCTCCACCCAATCTTCCAGTCCTCCACTATTTGTTTACTGTTGGTAAATTGATCAGCTACAATGGGGAACGCAAGAAATGGAACGCCAGCAAATGCACCTTCCTTGGTTGAATTCCATCCACAATGCGACCAAAATCCACCTACACTAGGATGGCACAAAACTCTCAATTGGTCGCACCAAGGCACCACGATTCCCCTCTTCCCAATTCCATCTGTAAGTAAGGAAGAAGTTTCACGTGCCACCCAAAATGTTCGGACACCACTGCTGTGCACACCCGCTATAATTTCATCTAACTGTGTATTTGATACTGACAAGAAACTTCCTTGGGATATGTATAGAACAGAGTCCTTAGGTTGATCATCAAGCCATAACAAGTAGTTTGGACTAGGCTTGTTAGTGTTTAATTCGGTATCCATGTAAGGGATTGTTGGACCAACAGTGAAAATGGGGACTGGAATTTCAGCGTGTAAAGCCTCAATTACTTGAGATTCCAATGGTTCAATGGTGGTGAACAAGGCGTATTGTGCTTTATTGACCAACAGTGATACAGCTTCGAGAATCAAGGGCAACATCTCCCGGTATTTGCTGTAGAACACAGGTGGGAGATCCTTTACACAAATTGGTTTGATCCCCGGAATGTAATTTACGACCTCTTCTCCTTGCTCTGTTTGTTAAGAAGCCAATAATTTGAATTCATATTCTATATGCATGTTACACAATTCTTTTAATATGCGTAATTCAAAACTTAATAAGCTATTACTCCTATATTTTTTTAGAATTCATAAATTAGTGGAAAGGAAATATGTTTCCAGTTATAACAATTAAATGACAGTTATCTAATCTAACAACTTAAAAACAAGTATACCTTGACAATTGGCTTCAAAATGTCCATTAGCTAGGAGTAGTTGATGGTGATGAAGGATGGAGAAAACCGTGGGAGACATGGGCCAAAATGAAGCCACCGGAATATTCCTCCGCTCCCCAATATGGACTGCCCACGTCAAGTATAAATCAACTAAAATCACATTGGGCTTTGAAATCCCGTCAAGTATACTATCAATGGGAGCTTCCATCTTAGTATACACAGCTTCCACGAACCCCGACAAATCTTTACTCCGATCCTTTTCTGATGGAATTACATTTGGGATTGTTAGAAATTTGATATTATCTGGCTTTTGCTCCGATTTCAAAAAGCTGAACCACTCTTCAGTTACAATAAAAGAGACTTGTAGTAGATGATTTGGTGTGGACGTTGTAGCTATGAGCTTGCACAGATTCATCAATGGATTGATGTGGCCTCTACCTGGATACGGAATCACCAATATATGGCAATTACATAGAGCTTGATCGACGTTGGTAGTTTCCATTTATTGATTCTTTTTGCCTTGTGAATTGGAAAAACAAAAACTGGGGTTTTAAGACTGACAAAGTTGACCAGATTGATGATCAGTGAAGATGGAGGTTGTGTTGAGCAGCCAGAAAAACGTTTTCTAGAAGAAATGACTGGTTTCTTACCTACTATTGTTGTGTTTCTAGGTAAAACTAATAAAATACTCCCTCCTCTCGCCTTTACTTGTTATATTTAGATTTGAAATATGATTGTTTTAAATGTTAATTATTAAGTCTTGAAATATAATTTGAAAATAAGTGATTAATGCTAAAGTTGTAAAACATGAAAAAGATAATTGTCTTTACTTGAAAAGTTAAAAGTGAAAAGTAAAAAAAAATATCTAGATAAATAATATGGGAAGTGAGGATGGTCGGGATGAGACTATGGGGTGGGAGGAAGATGAGGCGTGTTGGAAGACTGGGAGAACATAATCAACATGGATGTTACTTGTAAAACTCATTTTTACCGACAATGTAAAGATCTAGTAGTTATAAGTAACATGATTGTTCTCTCATAGTTCCATGCCAACTTTACACAGTTGGGGATCTTTTAATAGCGCTCCAATGCAATCTACAAGAAGGTTGGAAATGAAGCTGCCCCGCTATGAGATGGCCTTATGAACATGGTCAGATTGGTTGGAATTTCAAATTGAAAGGAGGACAAGATTGTTCTTCATGAGCCTCTCTTCTTCTCACAAAAGGTACGACAAAACTATGTTGTTTGTTTGTCCGCATATATCTAAGTTCTTGTACAAGCAATGAAAGATTAATCCTTTTTGTTACATGCAATGGTACAGATTGACACATGGAAGATGATCAAAATTGCTATGAAGAAACAGAACCAATACCAAGGAAACAGTGTTGGGGGAGTGGAAGTGATGGAAATATGATGAGAATAGCAGAGGTCTCTCTATATGGGCTGAAGTGAAAGGGATTAGACATACAATATCTCAACATGGCTAAAAGAGAATGTTTGAAGTTCTGATAACGTGGAAGATATATCTGTTTCGCGACAAGAATGGTAAATATAGTGATAATCTTATCATATTTAAGCCAAATCAAGGTGAAAAGTACATCATAGCCTATTGACTCTATCAATTTCAATCCCAGGTTAACAAGTCTTTATATACTCAATCATAGTTGTAAAAACAGCATAAACAGTCACAAAGTGCACTTAGATTCCTGCAACTCTTAATAAACAGCAGCATCTGTTTCACCTATACAGCAAACTAATCCTATGCCACACCAAAGCAGCCTGTCGAAATATTGGCAGAATGCTTGTGAATAACAACAGGCAGAAACTTCTTGCTCATACCAAATGCAGTTACTAAATATCAAAATGAACTACCATAAGTCAATAATTTCTCAAAAAGATGATACTGCATTTCAAGAATTGATAATTTCTGAAGACAACTCACTCGATAGACAATAAATATGGAGGGCAAAATGAATATCCACACACCAGAGAGATAGTATTCCATGTTTCCAATGCAGACCAACAACACTCACTCTCAATAAATATCCATACATATAGCTGCTGAAAGACAAACCAGCACTAAAAGGTCAATAAAACCATGAGAATTTTCTTTAAGAACTAGACGTCATATGGTGATCACATCAGTTCTGAAGGACAATTTTCTGTTGTGTTTAAGCAAAAGCATCCTACCTCTTGAAAAAGGAAATCCAGCAATCATATGCACAACACTTGGAGGAAAAGAAGCAATTCAGTACCATGTTCCTTATTCTTTTTCTCGAGTAGAAAGTGGCAATCGTTTTCTCGAGGAAAAGATTGAATTGAGTAGAGAATTGTCCCATTGCTTAATTGATTCTTTAACAACATTTCAGAATTAAGAGTACTTATGCCTCATCTTACTCTTTCTTCCGGTGAATTGGCCAAAGAAAAGATTGTAAAAACTCTACTCCGTCTCCCCTCAAACCCCCAAACAGAAGAAACTAGAGCAGAGTTTTGTGATCTCATTAAGTTGGATATACTGAAATTGGAATTGATTTCAGCAAACCCCTTGTACAAATACAAAGACGTGAATCATTCCGAAGCCTCATATAGTTGAAAATATAAGAGAAAATTGCAGTTGTATTTGTGATTACCATGTCTATTTCAGCAAGCAAGATATAAGCACACCACTCATATATAAAGGGCGAATGAATAACAAAAAGATGGATGGCTTTTAACTTATAATCAATACACCTCCTAACAAATGAAAACTCATTCACCAAAATAACCTAACTCAGGTCTTTTATCTGAAGGATGCTTTAATGTCCTGATCCTTGAGAATCATCCTCCGGAGATTGTTGTTGATGCTGATGCTGATGCTGATCTTGTTGTTGCTGCTGCGGATGTTGCATTCTTTCCTGCTGGTATATCTGGTTCAAAACCCCTAAATGACCCTCTTGAGATAATCCAAGCTCCAATCCTGGCAGTTGCTGGTTACTTCCACCAAGAATTGAAGTAAAACTCATAGGATTCATATTTGTAGCTGCAGGCAGATCAAATCCAGGAAACCCAATTTTCTGTAAGTAATAGTTTGAACTTTCACTGCCTAAACTGGCGCTTGATGGAGCAGATGAGGACTGAAACCCAAAACTAGTGACAACAGGGGCAGGGGCAGGCCATATTCCTACTGTAGCCAAATGGGGTCTTCCAAAATTCCCACAGATCATTGGCCAATTGGTCCTACTATTACTACTTCTACTGCTACCTGACCCCGCGATATTCGCCCCCGATTCAATCATTAAACCAGCTGATACAGAGATCCCCTGTTGAGAAACAGATGCTGCTGCAGCTAAAGCCGATGCAGGAATTGTCCCTGTGCCAGTAGCAGCAATAATCGAAGGCTCGGCTTGCTGCAGCAGCCACTGAATTGTCTCACCATCAGATTTATGACCCAATTCGCGCGTAAGTTGAAAGATTCTTGCTGCACATAGAGCAGGCATACGTATCCTCCTCCCTCTACCTTCAACTTTGGTATGCCTATCTTTTCTTTTAGGAGCAGCCACCTGCTGCTGTTTCTTGGTTTCATCATTTTTCAAAATCTGCAAGTCTTTTATCTGATCATGAGTAGGCTTAATATTGTTGTTGTTAGGCTGCTTGGGATCCATGAATGGAACTAGATGGGTCTACCTTGCAGGTTATAGTAATAATTAAATTAAATTAAAAAAACAAGGAGGCTCTTTGTTTACTAGTAATAGGAAAAAGAAGATAAGTTTTGATTTTTTCTTTCACTTGTGTGTCCTGTTTGAGAGAAGAAAGTGACCTCAAAGAAGAGACAAAAAACAAAAGAAGAAAAGAAAAGGAGAGGAAAGTTCTAACAATGTTGTCATTTCAGGAGGTTTCACTTTCTGTCACTCACAAGAATTTGAAAATGTGAAAAGATTGAAACTTTCCTCTCAGTTCAGGAGCAATAGTGGCTAAACCAATATGCTGATGTGACACATTAATTTTGAAGGTGTTTCAACGGACATAAAAAAATGAATTGAGATGTCTACGTATACATACTCAAAATTAGTGTGGCTAAACCATTATGGCACAGACTTGTAACTTATAAATAATATTCCTTCCATCTCTTTTTATTTGTTAAATTTTGACTTGACACACCTATTAAAAAATAATGGTTAATGTAGTAAGTTTACCATTTTACTATTAATTGATGAGGTCTCAAATACATTTACTTACTAAATTTTTCAAAAAAATTAACTCAATGTTATTAATTGAGGGTATAATAGAAAAAAACTTATTCTTTCTTAATTTGTCAAAAATGACAAGTAAAAAGAAAAATCAAATTAATTTTTTTTTGACAAATAAATAGGAAAAAGGGAATAATAGCTTGCAGTATTCTTTCCAGTTTCAACTGTTTAGCATTTTGATTCAATAGGGTCCTGAGAAAATAGAAAAAGAAAGAAGATGGGGAACCAAATGGTCATATTTCACGGGAAAGGTGGAAACTTAATTTGGTTTTTTTTGTATTGGTAGGTAAATACAATGTGAATATTTTCTCTGTTTCAATTTATTTGTACTATTTTTATTTTTAATCCGTTTGAAAAAAGACGTCTCCTCTGTATTTTAGCAACTTTTTAATTTTCTACATAGCACATCAAGATTAAATGACATTTTGATATATTTAGCAAAATGTATAATTTAAGATCACAAAATTTAAAATTTTCTTTTAACTGCATCCAAATCAAACACATTAAAACACACAGAATAATATATATTTTATGGTGTAATTTGTCTACTTTAATAATTGAAGGCTTAACGCGCATGACAATTGACATTCTAGTATACTAATAATAGGATGTGATGTCCACATATGAGATAGCACTACATGTGTAGGGTGGAGATGAATGCAGACGCTTGGGTTTATATATATATATATATATATATATATATATATGTGGTTGCTTCTAATCCACTCCATGTTACCACGGAGAATACATCGACAATCTTTTAAATTTCATTAGAATATATGGACAATCTCTTAAATTTGGAAAAATTATCTATCTACACCCCATTATTTACCATATTTTTTATTATTCCCTACCATTTCAAAATGACACAAAAATCCCTCTTTTTCTTACAAAAAACTCAAACGTCCGGATACATTACTCTCCATTCCAAACCCACGTTTCCTCACTCTCTCCTTATTTCCACTCTCATAATTTAATCAGTTATCTCCTTCATCCTAATTTCAAAAGATTTCTCTCTCCAGTCAATCAATTTCAAATTTGTCAATAGGTAATAGTCTTCTCGACTTTGTTGCTCTTCATTTTTTTTTAATCAATTTTCTCTATGTTTAGTATTGAGATTACCTAATTAAATACATCTAGCACTGATCGAATTTAGGATTCTGATTATCCTGAATTGGTTGAAAACAGATCTAAAAGCTTGCACGATCCATTTACAATGATGAATCAAAGTTTCGAGAAGGCAAAGTCGAAGAAGGATATACCTTCATCGTCTAAAGTGGATATGGAAAAATCACCCAAGAAAAGGGGTAGAAAAATTGATCTTGCAATCTCTCGACCTACATTACCCATGGTATTTATTTCCTAACTGGTACTTTTTAATTTTTTATATCCCCTGTTGTTAGTTGCTTCAAAAAATTTGATATACTATTGTTAAAGTGATATTATCATATTGCTATGTATCTTGATTTAAATGTACTAGGTTGATACATAAAATTTGAATTTTGTTCTCTATTTTGATTTGTGTTGTAAATGTATCAGATTATAAAGTTCAAATTATATGATGGGCTGTAATATGCAGAATATTGTATCGCATTCTAACATGGTTTAAATCTGATACATAAATATCACATAATGAATATATAATGTTATATTTAGTATCAGATACAAAATTTGACAGATTTTTTACTTTATCAAGTTTTAATGAGTATCATATACACTTTTGTCATTATTGTATCAATTAACATTAAGATACCTTGTAGTTGCAGTTATGTATCACATACTTAAAAAATTTTGTTCCAATCAGTTTAGCATGTAGATTTTTTTTAAAATTGTAGTCTATGAAATACATCATTAAACAGATTTCAAAGCACTCACTAAGGTCGTATAATATGAATTTTATCGAAGAGTTTGAGTTGTCCACAGGGGATGAATGTATCGAATTATTCAAGAATACTATTTTTGGGTCATACCTCAATATCCCAAAATGTAACTACCAAGGACAAATCACAAAGTGTTTGTTGCTTTTGGAGGTGGAGCAGGACAACACATATGAACTTCATATTCGTCATGCAAATGGAAATGTTTTGCATTTTAGTATCAAGGAATTTGCAATCATAACTCGTCTGAAATGCACAGAAAACATTGAAGATATCTAGATTCCACAACGAGTAGGCTAGTTCAAAGGTACCTTCCCAAAGGCAAAGAATAATGTAAGCAAGGAACGCCTGGTTCAACGTTTTACAATGGGTATTTGGGACAACATCCAGGATGTCGTTAAATGGCAATCCCTTACTTCATTCATTTTCTCTCAACTCAATGATACACATATATCGATCGAGGATTTTTTAATGATCAAAGATGGGAGGTATCAACAGTTTCCTTGGAGACAACTTACTTTCTCCAAGTTGATGAAATCACTTTGGCAGGAGTTCACCTTTGAAAAACAAATGTATCGGTTATTCGACATGCCATATGCTCTTAATGTTTGGATATATGAATGTGCTTTTGTGATAAATGAATAATTGTTGTTAAAGAAGGATATGATAGCATTAATGACAATCTCTTCATTTACTACAAAAAGCACATTCATATATCCAAACATTAAGAGCATATGACATGCCGAATAACCGATACATTAGTTTTTCAGAGGTGAACTCCTGCCTAAGTGATTTCATCAACTTTGAGAAAGCAAGTTGTCCCTAAGGAAACTGTTGATACCTCCTAACTTCGACCATTAAGAAATCCTCGATTGATATATGTGTATCACCTAGTTGAGAGAAAATAAATGTATGAATGAAATAAAGGATTGTCATTTGAACAACATCCTAGATGTTGTCCCAAATATCCATTATAAAACGTTGAACCAACCATCTCTTGTTTACACTATTCTTTTTCCTGGTCAAGTACCTTTGAACTAGCCTACTCGTTATGGAATCTGGATATCTAAAATCTCCAATTTCATGTGCATTTCAAACCAATTATGATTGCAAATTTCTTGATACTAAAATGCAAAACATTTTTATTGGCATGACGAATATGAAGTCCATGTTGTCCTACTCCACCTCCAAAAGCAACAAACACTTTGTGATCTATCCTTGGTAGTTACATTTTGGGATATTGAGGTATGACCCAACAAAAGTATTATTGAATTATTTGATACCTTCATCTCCTGTGGGCAATTCAAACTCTTCGATAAAATTCATATTGTACGTAGAGCCAAACCTTAGCGAGTGCTTTGAAATTCGTTTAATGACGTATTTCAAAGACTGCAATTCTAAAATAACGTTCATCAACTAAAAAAATCTACATAATACATGTTGAACTAGTTGAAAACTGATTGAAACTAAAATGTGAACAAAAAAATTGAAGTATGTGATACATAATTGCAACTACAAGGTATATCACTGTTTAACTAATACATACTGATAAAAGTTTATCTGATACTCATTAAAACTTGATAAAGTAAAAAAAAATTGTCAAAATTTTGTATCTGGTACTAAATATAACATCATATACTCATTATGTGATATTTTTGTATCAGGTTTGAACCATGTTAGAATGCGATACAATATTATACATATTACAGCTAATCATATAATTTGAACTTTATAATCTTATACATTCATAACACAAATTAAAATAGAGAACGAAACTAGGGTTTTATGTATCAACCTAATACATTAAAATCAAGACACATAGTAATATGATATCACTTTAACAACAATGTATCAATTTTTTTGAAGCAACTAACAATGGGGGATATCAAAAAAAAAAAAAAAGTATCAGTTAGGAAACAGATACCCTGGGTGATGTAGGTCGAGAAATTACAGGAGCAACTTTTCTACCCCTTTTCTTGGGTGTTTTTTCCACATCCACTTTAGACAACGAAGGTACATCCTTCTTTGACTTTGCTTTCTCAAAATTTTGATTCGTCGTTGTAAATGAATCGTGCAAGCTTTTAGATTTGTTTTCAGCCCATTTATGATCATCATAATCATAAATTCGGTCAGTGTTAGATGTAATTGGGTAATCCCACTACTAAACGAAGGAGCATCCATATGTATCAGAAAATTGATGGAAAAAAAAACGAACAACAAAGTGGAGAGGACAATTACCTATTGACAGATTTGAAATTGATTAAGTAGAGAGAGAAATCTTTTGAAATTCAAATTTTAGGATGAGGGAGATAACTAATTAGATTATGGGAGTGAAAATAGGGAAAGATTGAAGGAGTGAAAATAGGAGTGGGGAAACGTGGGTTTGGAATGAAGAGCAATGTATCCGGACGTTTGGGTTTTTGGAGGAAAAAGAGGGATTTTTGTATTATTTTAAAATGGCAAGGAATAATAGAAAATATAGTAAATAATGGTGTGTAGATAGGTAATTTTCCCATAAATAAATCTCAGGATTAGTTAATACTACAAACTAAAACATAAATAAGGTTAATCCCAAATTTTATCCTGAAATTAATATCTTTATCCTACCTACCAAACTCTTTCCATGATCTAAACATTAAGATGACATTTCATATTAGCTGTAACAAAAAAGATTGATGCACATTTTACATAAAAGTATAAAAGCATTACACAAGTTTTTCTGCTTCTTGAAGACAGTATCAGGTCCTAAAAATATTTCAGATAAGAGTTCATCCTCAAGGATTGACATGTGAGAACAATCCAAAAAAATATGTACAAATAGAATTATTTCCTGGGAAGCTTCTAACTTCAAAGCAAATGATGAAGTGGATACAACAACAACAACATACCAAGTAAAATCCCACAAGTGGGGTCTTGAGAGGGTGGGGTGTATGCAACCTTACCCTACCTGTAGAGGACTTGAGGTAGAAAGACTATTTTCGATAGACCTTGGCTCAAGTAAAACATATCAAAACAGCTATGAAAAGAAAATACTGGAGAAAAGACCAGTAGTATATGCAACTAAAATGTAGTATTTATTATGTCAAGGTGTGAGCAAAAAGTAATACAGAAGAATAAAGCAGTACCTCCTCCTTCTATGTACTGCTGCGCAATAGAAATGGGCTGTATCCTCACACAAAGTTTGATCAATTATTGCAACACTAAGAATTGTCGAAAAAGTATTGTCATGCTAAAATGCTCTCAGTGAGAGTGCTGAATTCTCACATGATGGCGAGGATACAGTATTTAAATTTGTTTCCAAAGTTACAAGGGCCTAAATATCATGCCAAATCAGTTAATGGATCCATTAATCAGTAGAACCAAACACAATTTGCTTTTAGTGAAGCAATAGAAAAGTTCCTCTCAAACAGATGCATTTCCACCCTGATTGCCTTTAGTTTTTGAAGTAGATAATAAAACCTATTATGGAATCTTAAAAAGTTCTATGGCAGAGAGATTCAGCATTTTTTGTATATTCATCAAAATAAAAGAAAGTAAAGCAACCCATGACACTCTTATTTAGATTGCCAGAGCATGTTGTCTAATCCATGTTGTTTCATTCTTTCAAAACAAAATAATAGACAAAAGAGTACCTCTTCCAACGGCTAATATAAACATCCCGGTGGAAACCTGAAGGAAAGCAAAAGCAAAAGCATGCTAGTGACAAGGGAGGATATAAAACAGACAAGAGAATCAGAAACATGATTCACATAAGAAGCAAACTAACAAAAGGTTATCCAATATTTGTTTACAGTAACACCTCCACCACCACCACCACCAATTCCCAATACAAGAGCAAAGGCCAGCCTAGCTAACAATCATATATACACAAATGGTGGGTGTCAGAATGTTGGCATACATAAAGATAGACAGAAATATTGCAAAAAGGATGTAAGCAAGGAACGAAAAAATGTTTCATTAATAAAGTATAAATGTATTGTTATTAAAAAGTATTTAGGATAACTCCGAGGAGCTAAAGAAGTTCATGCCTGTTCAATTGCTTATTATCTACAGGATATCAGTCCCAAGCTTCAATCTGTGCTGCACAATCACACACAAGAAATTAACCCAATGTCTCATCATCTTTCTTTACAGTGAGAAGGCACTTTGACAGTACATGAAATGCAATATGTTGATTTTACCTGCATTTCACATTATATATTATATGGAAGCAGAAGTTGACTTTTATATGTGCCAACATCTACTTCTTCCACCATAAAACTAATTCAAGCATCTAAAACCACATTTCTCATGCATTATCCAATGCTTCCCCAGGTTCTGTCCAGTTAAACAAGTAGTTCGCTTGTGGTGCATAAGCAATAGGACACCAAGGATGACTACTAAAAAGGATGGCTATTCTCTCTCCCGCAGAGTAATTATTGGTGCATCCCTCTCTGTGATTATTACGGGGAAATTACATGTACACCTGATGCACTCATAGTACTCCTCCTCCATCAGATTGCTGATGATTTAAAAATCATTTTCCATCTTTACAAGGTGCTCAAGGGCCTTGTTGTTATACTGATAGAATGAAATAAGCTGAAAACTATAAATCATTTGAAAGTTGGGCCAAAACAAAACACTAAAGCATGTCCTGCAATCAATCAAGAGCCTTCTGAACTTCATTTACATAGTGGTAGTATGATCAATTCTACAAGTGTCGATGGTACAATGGGCCTCAGATTGTTTTCACCTAAAAAGATCATTATCTAACTCTTGATATGCTTCACCATCAAGTGAGCAATCTGTCATAATCTAAACATAACTAAGTGTAAGTGAGCAATGCATGCAAATCTCACGTAACTAAATCCACACTTTCAATGCATGAAACCTCAAGCTGAATGCTTTGCATAGTCCCGTTGACTGTTACTAAGGGGTAAGACATATGAATGGTTCTGCAAACCAACCCCTCAACCCCCCAATGGAGTGCCATGGCATACTGCACTATACTACCATTGATCTGTTCCTTTTTTTGGGTAAAAAGGTTAGGAGAACACTACGTAAAGAAATTTTTTACCAGCACAGTGAAATTCTCAGCATCATATTATCACAATCAATTTTCCTTGAGCCGAGGGTCTATTGGAAACAGCTACCTTCCAAGTTAGGGGTAAGGTCTGCATAGACACTACCCTCCCCAGACCCCACTTATGGGTTTAGAGTGGGTATGTTGTTGTCATATAATCACAATCATAAGTAAGAACATAGTACCTGAGATAGAGTAAAGTATAACAGAAATATAAGGAAAACCAAAACTGCGCAGGCAGTGTCAGAAGATACAGTAATGTTTAAAGAAATATAAGAAACAAGAGAGTAGATGTTCACAGAAAGACTCAGTTGCCAACAATCCAAGTGACAATGCCTTAAGGAAAGTTAACAACATATTTGTTGTTAGTAATAGAATGAAAAATATTTATAAAATAACTGGTTGTGTGTTTACCACTGCACTATGTAGGAGTCCTTCACCATATCTACCAACTCCATCTTTCAGCAGATACCATTATATGAACTCTTTACTCTTGACCACTATGATAGAATATGCATGAGTTCCAACTTTAATGAGTAAAAACAATATCATTCCTCCTAGGTGGTCTGCCAGGAATACTTCCCGGCTTGAGCTTTGAAGCTTCGTGCCTAGCAAGTTCGGGGGGAACATGACTGTTGCTTTGGATGAGCATTTGCGTAAGATCATAAAAGACTTCAGTATCCTGCAAGGTCAAAAATGTTGTGGCTACACCTGTCTTTCCTGCACGACCTGTACGTCCAATACGATGGATGTATGCTTCAAGTTTGTTTGGCATATCATAGTTAATCACATGGGCCACATCAGGTATATCAATTCCACGACCGGCAACATCACTAGCAACTAACACATTATACTTCTTTGTCCTAAATCCTTCAAGGCTGATTTCCCTCTGCTCCTGTGATTTCCCACCATGCAGTGTGGTTACCCTATAGCCGGATTTATCCAGATTCTTGGTAACTGTGTCAACCCGCTTTCTAGAGTTGATGAACACAATAGCAGTCTTATCTCCAAGCTCATCCAGAAACCTCTGCAGCTTAAACATTTTCCCAGATTCCTTTACCATGAAGACATGCTGAGTAATGAGGTCAGTAGCCTTTCCAACAGTGCCAATAGTCACGATAGCAGGATTTCTTAAGTAATTTCTAGCCAGCCGCTCTACAGCAGGTGGCATGGTAGCACTGAACATATAAGTGGTACGGTAAATCTTCTTCTCATCAAGCTCTTCATCCTCATTCTTTGGTTTCATATTACTTGAAGGCATTGCATCCAGTACACCAACAACTTGAGGTCCAAAACCCATATCAATCATCCGGTCAGCCTCATCAAGAACAACATAGTTACACTGGTTCATAACACAATAACGTCTCTCCAAGCAATCGAGAAGTCGCCCAGGTGTTGCAATCACAACTTCACAGCCTTGCCTAATTCTAAAACCTTGCTCTTCTATGGACTGCCCACCAACAATAGAAACAACTTTGATACCCAAATAGTGTGCAAACTTGACGGTCTCATCCTCAATTTGTTGAGCTAGTTCTCGTGTGGGCACCATTACAACCGCATATGGCCCCTCTGCCTCATTCTCTTCACTCAATGGAGGAAGCCTAGTGATATAATTCAGCATAGGGAGAACAAAAGCAGCTGTTTTACCTGAACCAGTCTCTGCTACACCAATCACATCACGTTGTTGAAGTCCAAGCGGAATGGAAGCCATTTGAATAGGAGAAGGCTTCTTGTAGCCAGCCCTCTCAACAGCCTTAAGCAACTCTGTAGTTAACTTGCTCTCGGCCCAATTCCTCATGGGACGGGGTATCCTCGACCCCTTATAGGATATGTTGTAATCCTCCCTAAATATCCTCCAATCTCTCTCTGTCATTTCCTCCAGCTTCTTATCTGTCCAGTGTTGATCAACCCTCATGTCAAAAGTGTCATACAAATCAGCATTTTGTTCCTTCTTCTTCAAGGCAGCTGCTTCTACTGCAGTCGCCTCAACACCTCCCTTCTTCCAAATCTCCTCCTGCATCTCCCTCTCATTCTTGAAGGCAAGCTTCTTCTGCTCCCTTCTGTCGATTCCACCGAAGAATCCGCGACCAAAGTGTGGACGGGCTTCGTGAGGGTTTTGATAAAGAGGGTTGACGTCACGAGAAGTGTCTTCAGAGTTCTGCCAGTCGAAGGATGATCGGAGTTTTGCACTGGATGTAATCACCCGTTTCTTGGGTTTCTTAGATCCCAAATATTGCTCATGAATAGCTTCAAGTTCCTTCTCTGCCGGATTCTCCAATCTAACTCGATTCGGTTCCTTCTCTCTATCTCTGTCACTGTTCCTGTCTCTATCTCTTTTTCGGTTCTTGCCGCAATAGTGGTTATCGGAGGAAGGGCAGTTGTACTTAGCCTGAAGATGTTCGTGGCAGCGTTTCTGATCGGCGATCTCGTCCTGACGGGCTAACTGCTCTCTCTGTGCTTTGGTGAGGTAAACCGGCTTCTTGGACGGATCCGGTTTGATTCCGACGGGCCGGTTCATGCTTCTCTCAGATATGGTCATCGTATAGAAGCCGGGGTGAAAGGGGATCGGTTTGGAGAAGAAGCGAAATTGGGAACTATTTATAGGCACAACCGACCTAAAGAGAATTTGAAATTTGGCGCTGACTGGGCGCGAGGGCAATAACCTAACCAAAATAGGCGATAACAACTCAATTTAGTCCGAGCTCAATTGTGGGCTCTTGAATCGGAGTCAAATGAAAAATTCAAAAAAAAATAAAACAAAACAAAAAGAGATTACAGAATGTATGTAAATATTACTACTAACCAAAATAGGAAATAACTAACTAATTAAAGTTATAAGGATTTCGGAGAAAAAAAAGAAAGAAAGGATTAAAAAGGGAAAACAAACATTTTTTGGAAAGAAATTTCAACTATCTTAAGAAAATGAAATTTTACTATCTCCGTCCTATATTAGATGTCATGTCCAACTTATTATAAATAGTCATCTCAAATTATTTGTCCATTTATCAAACTAAAGGAAAAATTAATTATTCAATTCCACCCCTACAATTAATATTTTTTTAAAAGCATAATCAAGCTTATAAGTTAAAAAAAAAATAGTTTTCAAAGGAGTGGATAAATGATAAATTAGTAAAATTACTTATCTTAATTATGATTACTTTAAAAGCTCGTAGAGGAAAAAGTGGACAGCTAATATGGGATAAGAGTAATTACTTAACAAAGCATTAAAAATGATCCTGATAAATTAAGAAACAATTTCATGACAAATTGGAAGAATTAATAAAATTTGACTAGATCACTTGTTCTTGCTTGGCCACTAAGTTGCCGTTTTCTGAGTAACAAGTTACCTAACTATTTTATTTCTTTTTGACAACTTAGGTGTTCGTGTGCACCATTACTAATTTTACGGGATACACGTGTGACTCTATCCACCGAAGCTAAAACGAATAGAAAGATATCACCTACTAGTATTGTTGGTTTCTAAGAAGAAAGAAAAACCCCCTTCAATGATAGCAAGATTGAAGTGTGCATGCATGTTTTGAAGTTTCTGTTCTCTCTGTTTAGCTTCAGCACATTTGCACTTTAAGGCTTAAAAAGAGAACAACAACAATACACCCAGAACTACAGCAAAAATGGAAGTTCAAGCCTTCACTGCCACAACTAGAAAAGCTACTATTCATGTATGTTCAACAGTGTAATTTTATTTACCAATGCATGCATACAATAATACATATTTTGAACAAAATTCCAATCGACATTCAAAACTTTTGGAAAGAGACTAGGACAAAGAAAATGCTGCAGACCCATCAAACTTTAATTAAAATTGAAGAGCAAACTAAGTGCTATAGAAAGTTAGAAACTATCTCAAAACTCATTACAGAAACTGTTAATTACATTTAAGAGGTTACATGAAATGTGAAGATCTCAATAGTCAGGGATTGAAGTAAAATCAATAACCTTGAGCACCTCTCCAAGAATTGTATGTAATTCACGTCTCATAAAAACCTGCAAGTCATTATAAATTGTCAGAGATGATTGCCGGAATCAACTAAGGGAAACGCGAAGAAAGAACATAAATGAAGAACTAATATGCAACAAGAAGTGCAAGGATCCTATTAAAATTTCTAGTTCTATAAAACATCATATGACAAAGTACTCCAAGCATAACCTTGAGTGATTTTGGGTCACTATGACCTCTCAACATTCCTGAAGATCTCATTCTATTAAGGGTAAAAGGGGTTGACTACCTCAGTGGAGGATATATCACTTAACACCTAGGCTTTAATATTGTTGTAGGTCCTAAAACTGTTTAAAAGGAGTGTTCATCCTCAGCAATTAAAGATGAGAACAAACAACTAAAGGATGAAATTAGAATATTTCCTGAAAGATTTGCAACTCTGGACCCTGGAGCAAGTGGTGCAGTCGATAAAAAGTTTCCTCTGGCTTCCATGCCTTAAAAGTATCTCCAACTGGTACAAGTTATGATGCTTTACCAGCGATAAAGGGTACTGGATTAAAACAGACACTGATTGCAAGTAAAACCACATAGAATTGCAGTCATTCTCTTCTGTTGTTACGTAAACATACTTATGCGCCATCATCTCAGTCCTTTATCTCAATTTGTAATTCAGACTTGGTGATGGAGCTCAAGACGGAAAAATGTTCAAGAAAGAGTGATAATTTGATCCTTTGCGCGTCAACTGTTAGAGCTTTAAGGGTAATATATACAACTAATAAGTAGGAGTATGTAGTATGGAGGTGTGAGCAAAAGTTAACACAGAAGAACAAACGAGTACCTCCTTCCTTCCATGTGTAACGCCAATGTAGGAGAAATGGGCTATAATCATTAAGGTTGATCAGTTGTTGTAATGCTAATAATTGTTGAATTAGTATTCTTGTGAAAAAATGGACATTAGGACAACCACAAAAGCTAGCTCACGGTGAGCATTGTCCGAGATCGTATAAGGAGACAGCAACTCATTTCCTCCATCAATGTGGACACGGAAATTAGTCATGCTTGTCAATTTTCTGCTGAAATGCCTCTCAAAGTGAGAGTCTTTCCATTATATAGAGAAAATAAAGATTACATCCCTAAAGATCCGCCATTCCTATCCCTAAAGATCAACTATTCTATCTCTACAAATCTGCTATTCAATCCTTCTAAATCTGCCTTGCTATCCATCCAAATCAGCTATTCTATCACAATATTTATTCCTTTGATTCTACAACAAATGTATATGATCATGCTAATTTATATCACTATATAATTACATTAATATATACAATCATTTAGTTGTCCATCATGCTAACATCCCCCCTAAAATTGATGTTGGTGGATCAAGAAGCATCAATTTGCCTACTAGAAACTGATGGCGTTGCCGTGCCATGGATTTTGTAAACGCATCAGCTATTTGAAGATCGTTGGACACATGTGGAAGAGTAAGGACTCATTTATCTACAACTTCTCTTATATAATGACAATCCACTTCGATGTGTTTGGTCCTCTCATGAAAAACTGGATTAGTAGCAATCTAAATAGCACTTGTATTGTCAGCGTGGAGAGGAGTAGGATGAGATTGAGGAAATCCAATCTCAACAAGTAATCCACGAAGCCATACAACCTCAGAGCAAGCAGTAGACATGGATCGATATTCAGCCTCTATTGAAGATTTTGACACACGATCTTGCTTTTTACTCTTCCAAGATATCAATGACTCTCCAAGAAACATGCACCAACCAGAGACTGAATGACAAGTATTAGGACATCCCGCCCAATCAGAATCACTAAAAGCATTAAGACGAATAGGAGAACCACTTGGAAAGAACAATCCACGAGTAGATGTTCCTAGAAGATACCGAATGATGCGACGAACAGCCACCAAGTGGAGATGACAGGGAGCTTGCATAAATTGACTAACTTGTTGAACTGCAAAAGAGATATCAGGCCGATTAATAGTAAGGTAATTTAGACTCCCAAATAATTGTCGAAATATAGTTGGATCAGGAAGAAGATCGCCTTCCTCACGATGATACTTCACATTCAATTCCAATGGAGTATCTACGGAGGATGAATCTTGAAGACCAGCCAAAGAAATCAGATCCTGAGTATATTTGTGTTGGTTTAGAAACACACCTGAAGCAACATTATAAACTTCCAAACTCAAAAAATAAGTAAGTGTACCAAGATTTTTCATATGAAAAGAATCTTTAAGCTGCTGTTGGAGGCTAGTGATTAGTGAAGAATCAGTTCCTGTGATAATAATGTCATCTACATACACCAAAAGAATAACACAACTTGTAGATGTTTTCTGAAGAAACAAAGATGAGTCATATTTGCTCTGCTCAAAAGAATATTGTAGCAAAGTAGACCGGAACTTATCAAACCAAGCTCTTGGAGCTTGTTTTAATCCATACAAAGACCGCTTCAACTTGCATACATCTGATGTAGGCGATGAGAACAAACCAGGTGGAGGTTTCATATAAATATCTTCTTTAAGATCACCATGGAGAAAAGCATTTTTGATTTCCATTTGATACGAAGACCAGTTTTGTGAAGCAACAATGGCAATGATAGTTCGCACCGTAGTCATTTTGGCTACGGCTGCAAAAGTCTCCTCATAGTCCACCCCATACTCTTGTCCGTTACCAAGAACAACCAATCGAGCTCTGTACCGATCAAAAGATCCATCAAAATGAAGTTTGATTGAATAAACCCATTTACATCCAATAGGGCGGACATTTGAAGGACATGAAATAATGTCCCCTGTGTCATTTTCTTTAAGAGCCAAAAGTTCTTCCTCCATTGTTTTCTGCCAACATTCATACTTGGAAGCTTGTGAGTAACAAGATGGAACAGATATGTTGGATAAAGTAGAGGAAAAGCCATACCAATTAGGAGTACGAGATACTCTGGTAGATCATCGAGTAGGCTCAAGAGGACTAGATCTTGAAGAATTCTCAGATTCTAGTTGTGGTACAGTTTCAGGTGGCGGATCAGTGTCGGGATAGGATAAAGTTGGCCGACGTCGTTCATACACAAATCCAGGTTTGAACCTCTTAAAAAAAGATGATGAATCCTCAAAAGTAGGAAGAAGAGGAAAAACATACGATGGATCTACAATCGCAGGAAAGAAATATTGATTCTCAAAGAAAACAACATTTCTAGAAATACGAAATTTGTGAGAACATGGATCATAGCAAATAAAACCTTTTTGTGAAGTACTATAACCCATAAAAGCACATTTTTTTTTATTTTTTTTTTTATTTGCACCGGGTGTCCGAGTCTCTTTGAGCCCCGACTAATCCCGGGGGTGCACAGGCCCTCGGCAAGGAGTTTCCCGCAAGTGCACCACGGTTAATTCAGGTTTTACCCAGTCCGATGGCCCTCAGAAATTGTTTGCACCTAGTGGGTTTCGAACTTGAGACCTTGAAAGGGAGCAAACCCCAAGGCTCAAGTCAATTGCCAGCAGGCCAACCCCTGAGGGTTCATAAAAGCACATTTAGTAGACTGTACAGAAAGTTTATTGCGCTGCGAAGGAGGCAAATGCACAAAACAAACACAACCAAATGTATGAAAATCACTATAGTTAGGATTTTGATGATAAAGACGAAAATATAGAGACTCAAAATTTAGCACTTTAGATGGCAATCTATTAATTAAATAGACAGCGGTAGACAAAGCTTCCACCTAATATTTAGTTGGTACAGAGGACTCAATCAATAAAGTACGAGTGACATCTAAAAGATGACGATTCAGCAACTCCATTTTGTTGTGGTGTATATGGGCAAAAGTGTTGTGAGACAATTCCTTTGTCAAGCAAGAATTTTTTGAATTCACAAGACATATATTCTCCACCAGAATCAGATCTTAATAATTTGATGCATGTAGAAAATTGAGTCTCAATGTAAGCCAAAAATGTCTTGAACATGGAAAATACCTCAGATTTGGATTGAAGAAAATACACCCATGTAAACCGACTATAATCATCAATGAATGTCACAAAGTATTTGAAATGAGCATGAGAAATAATTGGTGAAATTCCCTAAACATCACTATGAATGACATCAAAGCACTTTGTAGCACGACTACCAAAATTAGGAAAAGGAAGAGTTTTACTTTTGCCTAATTTACAAGTAAAACAATCAATGGAAGCAACTGAAAATTGATTTTTATTTCCCAATAAACCAGAATTTGATAAATGAGACAACACAACAGAATTTAGATGTCCTAGATGCTTATGCCAAACCTCAGTCGTACTAGCAGTAGAAGTACAAGCAAAAGATAGAACAGGAGGAATTGAAAAGTGTATAGGAAACAATCGTCCAACTTTAAGGCCCTTCGCAATTATCGTCCCCGACACCTGACCCTGCACGAGACAACCATTATGAGAAAAATTCACATCACAATTGTTATCTACCAATTGCCCAACTGAAATAAGACTAGTTGAGAGCTTTGGTGAAACAAAAACATTCTTGAAAGTTGAAGTAATGTCCCCAACCTTGGTAATGGGTAAATTACTACCATTGGCAATCTGTATTTGTGATGGACCTTGATACTTACAAACATTTTTTAGGATGCTCGTTGAGTTGATGTGATTGGAAGCACCTGAATCAACAATCCAAAAATTAGATGTAACATCATTACCTTGTAATCCCTATGCTGAAAAGGCTGACACGATCATTTGTTGTACCATTTCAGGAGAAAAAACTTGTCCTGAAGATGAGTTATCATTAGTGGAACCATTTATCCCAGCTTGAAAAGTATTGATCCTACGATATTGAGGGCGCACGGGACACTCTTTGATAACGTGTCCTTGTTGTTTACAATAATTACAGAACTTCTTGCTACAATTGCTAGCAATATGACCATATTCCTTGCAACTGTAGTGTAACATCTAGCGAATTGAAATAGCTAGGAAGAAGCTAAGAACTTGAAATAATCGTTTTTGGAAATAGTGACAATCCTGGAAATTTGTTTAAGTTAGGAAAAGTGAGTTTTTGGTCAACTTCACACGGCCATAACTCCTAGCTCAGGATGAGTTAGGTGTACTTCTAGATATGGTTGGAAAACTCTTGGAATGATCTTTCCAACGCCGCCAAGTTTGCGAAATTGCGAGTTCGTATGAGTGAGATATGCCCATTGAAAGTTGGGTTGTTCAAATAAGGAAATGTCCAATCCGGATTTTTAAGGGGTATTTTAGTCTTTTCCTTGCCCTATTATTTTAATCCGTTTTTAGGAGTTTAATATGGGTCAAATAAAATTTTAGTCAGTTTTAGAAATTGGAATTTTACGCTAGGGCTTGGAGAAAGGAGAAAAGAGGAGAAAGAAGAAGGGCAAGAATTCATCAAGATCGATCCATTTAGTTGTGGTTTTCGCCAAGGATTTATTCCTACCAGGTATGTGAGATCACATAGCGTTGGGTTAGTTCACCCACGCGCCAACCATGATTACATTCAGCGAATTTAGGTCTTTGAAATTTAGAAATTGAGTTCTTGATGAACATTGTTGAAAGTTTCGTTGAATTCTTGTGGATTGTGTTGTTGAAGTTTCTTGATGATTTGATTCATGTTTCCGGGTGAAATTTCGAGTTGAATTTATTGTATATTGAGGTTATTGATGATTCTAAGTGTTTGGGGAAAGAACCAAGTGAAATTAGAGGGTTTAGAGTTGAAAAACGAAGAAGAAAGTTCAGAGTTTTCTGGGGAGGGGGCTGGGGCGCCGCGCCTCCCAGAGCGCCACAAAAGTTCCTCTGAACTTTTGGGCTCTGGCGCGCCGCACCAGCCAGAGAGCCACAACAAGCTCTCTGAACTTTGAGGGCTGGCGCCCCAGAGCGCCAGGGACGCCAATTCTCCCCTTTCGTTCCCCACCTTTTCGTACTTGTTCCTTAGCAATATACCTATGTTTTCTAGTTGATTCCAACACTCTAAGGTACATATAAACATCATGAAATCATCCATAAACTTGAGATCATGAACCTTGAATCCATAATCCAATTCAAGGAAAGTTAGGATCAAAGTCAGAGAGAAGTTAAGAGTCAAGTCTAGAAGTTAAGAAGAAAGTCAAGCAAAGTTTTTAAAGTTTTCAAAAGTCTTCAACAAACGTTTTAACTTTGTTTTAAGACTTAAGTTTCAAGTTAAGCAAAGAGTGAAGAGTTGAGTTCATTTCTCAAAAAGCTATAAGGGAACTAACTATTCCCCAAAAAGTTTATAAATGTTTTCACATTTGAGCAAGAAAAGGGAGCATCGATTCCAAGAAAGCGTTAAGCTAAGTTTTGAGTAATTATCTCAAACCAAAGAAAGGAGTTGTTTTAAAACATCTGAGCTAAGTATATTTTTGGGAGTAGTATTGAGCACCGATATAGGGATGCGAGTTCATATTAACTCAAGTCTCCATAAACCATGTAGCCATCATGGGTATTAATGGGTCATACTTTTTAGATGATCACATAAGTTAAGCTAGTGTATCCACTAAGTTAAGTAGTTCTATATGACGGCAAAGTACAAGACAGTCTGGCAACGTGATGGTAAGAACGTTGTATCACCACTTAGGCTCATAGTGGTGGTTGTCGGTTAGAGAATCTTCTGCAGAAACCATATTATTTTCTTATATGAGTAAAGTTGAGTTTGTTATTGCTTTATCTTTAACGAAGTAAGTTGGTTGCAACTGTTTTATAAGCTTTATATATATTGCATGTGCTTTATTGCTTTATATTTGAGTGAAGTTATTCAGAAGTTGAGAAGAGCCAGGTAAGTGTTTCTTTCAGAATCCTTTCAAGCCTATATCTTGTTTTAGCTTTCCAACTCGCATACTCGTACATTCAATGTATTGATGTCAGTTGGCCTGCATTATGATGCAGACGCAGGTAACCAGGATCAGCACCCAGCGCCTCGTTGATCCAGTTTGAGCCTTCAGAGACTGTTGGTGAGCTTCCTTGCATTCCGGAGGACTCCTTTATTTGTTTTTAGTCTTTTAGATGTTAGGATGATCGGGGGTCCTGTCCCGACATCCCTCTTTGTTTTAGAGGCTTCATAGACAGTTAGTAGTCGAATGTCTTTACATTGTTATTTCATATGTTAAGACTTGAGTAGCCATTTTGGCCAAGTTGAATGTTGACTTTTAAACATTCTAAGCTATTAGATTAAGTTATTTGAGTAAGTTCAATTTGATCATTGTATTACTGTCTAGAGTCTTCCACTGAGTCAGTAAGCAAGGCAAAGGGTTCGCTTGAGGCCAGCAATGGTCTTCAAGTGCCAGCCACATCCGGGGTGTAGGCCCGGGGCATGACATGTAGCATTGGGTTCTACTCATATCCCTGCCCTTTCCTTTACCTTGAGCAGCAAATACAACAGTGACATCATTTTCTTTCTTGAAAGCATTTTGTGTGACAAGACGTTGCTCTTCATGAAGTAATTCCCTAAAGCAAACATCCAAAGAGGGAGACGGGTCACGATTCATCAAGTTAGAGCGAACACTCTCAAAGTCGGAGCGTAATTTCATCAAAAATTGGTCTCGCTTGCTTTGCTCATGAACTACCTGAATCACTAATAGAGATTCAGTAGGTATTTTGGCATAGACAATATCTGTAAATTCAGCCCATAAGTTCTGAAATCCAGAAAAATAATCCTGAACAGAAAAACCTCCTTGAGAGTAATTAGCAATTTCATACTCTAACTGAAAGCATCTTGCGCTATTATCTTGGTTGTAAACCTTTTGTAAGTAATCCCACATGGCGTTAGCTGTCTTGTATGGCCTGAGATTAAGAACAATAAGAGGGTGAATTGACCCTAGAATCCATGCCATCACCCGAGCATTTTTAACCTTCCATTCACCTAGCTTTGTTGCATCAGTAGGAGCAGGATCGCTTCCATCTATATGTCCCCATAGTTCTTTGCCGGTGACAAACAACTAAAACTGAAACTCCCAAGAAGAATATTTTTTTCCAATAAAACGAACACCGAAGGATTCAAAGTGATGTGAATTCATGCTTTTGAATAGCTATGAAAACTAAAAAGACTCAAGAAAGCAACTAGAATGACCAAGAACAAAATTCCCAGGTGGTAGGACTAATTGTCGATGAACAGTCAATCAAAAACCAAGATTTTCAAAAAAAAATTAGAAGGAACCACAGATGACTCTATGAAACAAGACAGCCAAGAGAAGGCTCTAATACCATGTCAATTTTCTGCTGAAATGCCTCTCAAAGTGAGAGTCTTTCCATTATATAGAGAAATAAAGATTACACATCCCTAAAGATCCACCATTACTATCCCTAAAGATCAACTATTCTATCTCTACAAATCTGCTATTCAATCCCTCTAAATCTGCCTTGCTATCCCTCCAAATCAGCTATTCTATCACAATATTTATTCCTTTGATTCTACAACAAATGTATATGATCATGCTAATTTATATCACTATATAATTACATTAATATATACAATCATTTAGTTGTCCATCATGCTAACAATGCTAAGATGTTCTTTAAATTGTTGAATCCTCACATTATGGTGAGGTTGCAATAATTATCTCTTCTTGCAAAGTTTAACTTTCTAGATATAAACTAATAAAAAAAGAAACTTACTAAATATTAGAAATTGTATTGTGTAGATACATCTTTTTTTTATCAATCAGTAGATATATCTTCTATCGCAACTAGAGGAGAATACTGTGTGATAGCCTGGTAGAGTGATAGGCACTAAATACAGTAAGAGAGTACATGAAAGGCATATCCTAACTTTCACAACAAGGGCCTTTCCAATGATGCAAAATCAGTCATTTTTTATCTTGTGAGCATTGTTCACATTTGCTACTCCTGAACTCTAATCATTTTCCCAGTCTATGAAGATCAGCCATAACTGAAAGAGCATGATGATAAAGAGGCCTCATAGCATAGTCATACCTCATTTATTACATCAGAAAATGATTATTGGGAACATTATAAGTTCTGAGTATTAAATGGGTAGTGGCTCTCTTTTAAGTGCTCCTCCCATTTCCATCCTCCAAGATTGATCTACCAAAGATGCCAACTCCCTACAGATAACCACCAATGCAGCTATTAGAGAAGGAACCAAATTTTTAATACAATAAGAGCACAAGGTACATATATCTCATCTTCACTGTCAGCTGCGATCAGTTAAATATCAATCAAGAACCAGAAATGAATTGCCAGGAAAATAGAAGTACCAGAAACAAAATAATGATTTATGTCTTCCAATTAAATGCCATTTTTTGACTATGCTAAGTTGAGAGTTGAATGCAGTTCTATCTCACTTGTGGAAGATAGTGGCCAAAACTAGTTTTCTGAATCCTTCTAGGGTAGCAGTGAAAAATATAACCGGCCAACTAGTTTTGCTTAGAGGGCAAAATTGATTGATTAATCTTTTACTCAGACATTGCCAACTGTGTAAGCGTAAAAGCATATCCTTACATCATCTACCCCTTCTATTTCAAATTGATTGTTTTAGTTTTCCCATTTCTTTGATAAGTTTTCACCTTTTATTGCAAACAATCAAAAGTTTGACACACTCAAATTTTACATTTTCAACATTTGAAGAATTACTCTGTTGTTTGCCTGTTTTTTTCTTCTTTTTTTTAAGATCAAGAAGTCTGTCCAGAGCCAACCCTTTGGGCCACCGCAACCTTCGAAATTCTGGGATGATGTGCCCGCCCCTCTACCATTCTCTACTTAAACATTGAACTGAGTTCTTTTGGCATGGGGATCAAATTTGTGAATCAAGATACAAGTCCCTCAACCTTTGCCAATTGAGCTGACCCGGGGAGGCATCTCTTTTTTTGGCTGTTCCTCATACAGAAACACACATATTGTCAATAAAATACAAATTCAGTGCTTTTACATTTTAAAATTGTAGAAGGCAAACAAGATATGCAATTTGAAACGGAGAGTAAATGAATATTTCTTTATCATGACACCTAATATCACTATGGGACCACCAAATGTGACCAAGGAAGTGGCAAAGGTAGTACATGCGGCATGTATGGTAGTCGCAGGGCAGGAGTTTGAATCCTGACTGATGATCCAAGTCTAGTGGAGTAGGGTAGAGGAAAAATCCCATTATCCACCAAGTCTGGAAGTGGCAAACAACAGATTTCCCAGTTATCAAGAAAAAGGGACAGGGAGTCTGTGAAAAGTTTCCCGAGTTCACAAGTTATGGATAAATGACTTCCTTCAAGACGTCACCAGAAAGTGTCGATAAATTTTCTCGATATCAATAAAAACCTCGAGTGAACCATGTTAGACATCTAGTATGGTGATTCATTTCCAATAAAATAACATATGTGGACCAAATCAGGAACTTACTTGAGGTCATGGCTGACAACAAGTAAAGTTAGCTCCTTCTTTAGATCCTTTAACAATTTTGCCACATCTGCACGAGCCTTCCAATCTGATTTCCCTCATAAACAATGAACTTTTTTAGAAACTGAGGTTAGGAATATAGTTGAAGTTGGGGACAAAAAACAAAAAAAAATTGTCCATCTAATAACTTATTTATATTTAAAAACAAGTAATTCATTTTTAAAAAATAGACTAGGCTAGCTATATCATACCAAACAAAAAAATAGTAAAATAAGCTTTCAAAATCTTTGAGGGAATAGCTTCACTCCATAGTCCTGCTGCTCAATACCACAACCAAGCCTCACTACCATTATACTACATGCAATCCAAAGAGAGGTATGATCTAATCAGCAAGCTCTTGAACTTCACTTGTACCAACCATAGCAAAGAATTAACTATACAAAAAATTTCAAAATAGCCCTTGTAACATATTAGCAAAAGCAACTTTACCATTCTCAAAAAAAAAACATATTAGCAAAAGCAAATATGAGAGCTAGTACACAGATAGCAGAAAGAGTGTTTTAACACAACAATGATTTGTACATCGATTTAACCATTTGGAGAATAAGATCAGATAGCCCTACAAGGAACTCTATGCTTCTACAAGAAGAAGCAAAAAAATTGCTTTTAAGTGAAGCCAAAGAAGAGTTCCTCTAAAATAGATATAGAGTTCCCACCCTGGTTGCCTTTAGTTCTGGAGAATTAGATAATGCAACCTAACAAAGAATATTAATATTCTATGGCAGAAAGATTTACATATTTCAGCATATTCTTCATAAAGTAAAAGCAGGTAGCATAACCCGTGACTCTATTCTTTATATTACCAAAGTTGATTAGTCGTCCTATTCTTGCTTGTTTGTCATTATTAACAGCTCAGCATATAGGGTTTACTAAGAGTTTACAATCTTGGTGCTTCTGTCATAGAATAACAAGTTGGGACTTTTGTAAGAACAGATTACTCAGATTACAGAATATGGGAGATGGAATCAAAAAAGGGTTGTTCATCAAATATAACAAAAGTAAAATCCTTGTGCAGGCATATCGATTCCCTTGTACCCTTTCAACTTAAACCTAGAAATCACAACTATTCTTGTTCTGTAAAACCAGAACTCTTGTTGCATTAAAAGCATACGTATGTGGGAGAATAACAAACTGATGAATAATCAAATACCTAATAAGGGAAAAACATCAAAAAGGAAAAAAAAAAAGTAATCCAAAAAAACAAAATGAAGTAGATCATAGAAAGCTTCTTCATACCAAGACCGGCAAGAGGCTCATCCAATATTAATAAATCTGGTGTTTGGACCTGTGCAAAGAGAAAACATATTAACAGACAGATAATCAATCAAAATATCAATAATTTTTTGCACACAAATAGGCATACGCATGTTTATACAAATGCACATAGACACTTCCTATTTTTCATAGATGAGAAATCCTTACTAACTGAATAGCAAGGGCTAGCCGACGTTTGTAGCCACCACTTAATGAATGGGGATCCTTATCCAAGGATATTCCTGTTAGACCAACCTAGGAGTTATCAACCACATAAAAAGCTGTCATAATTTGCTGGAAAGTAGACAAGCTTTTCTCATTTGGAAGAGAAAATTAAATGACAGTTTAAATCACACTTAAAAGGAATATACCGACATAATGGCCTTTTGAAGTCTAGAAGCAAGAAGCTCTCTTAATTGTAGGCCACCCTTTTGTCTTGGCCACCCAAATGTAACTTCATCAAGAACAGTGTCGGCAACAAAGTATCTGTAGAACAGTGAAACAGACAAAATCAAGTTAAATAAACTGTTGTTGGAACCAAAAAGAACTGTTTAAACTTTATATTCCTACCTAACACATGCAATACTCACTTTACCAATATGTATGTAAATATATAAATCTATACTTATGTAAATAATACCAGAATTAAGAGGTAAACAAATAGTGTTTAGTTAATTGCAATGCTGATGATTCATGCAATCTGCACCTGGAATAAATTGATAACTGGAGGAGCTTTTGTCTTTTCAGTAAAAACAGTAACTGAAAATGCATTATGTTTAATATGAACCTCAAGATTAAAATTGCATTGTGTCGCAAAGAAAATCCTGACAATGCATGAAACACACAGTCAAGAAATGAGTACCTCTCAGGAAATTGGAAAACAATGCCAACTCTTTCAGGTTGTAAGGGTTCAGGAGACTTAATTTGTTCATCATCATCACTATATCTTTGCACATATATGGAACCTGACGTTGGTTTGCTTAACCCTGCAATCAGCTGCATGGAGAAGGTCAAAGATAAAAACCAGCCTGAACAAAGTACCTTTTGGAGGTTGAAAGGAGAAAAACTAAAATGAATTTGATTACAAAAGACAAAATCAAAAGGAACACCTGCAATAGAGTAGTTTTTCCACTGCCACTCCGTCCAAATATCAAGCCAAAACTACAAAAGATCCATGTCAAATCCACAGAGAGCCTCTTCAAATGCATATCAGCATTTGAGATTCTAGTTTCTTCATAGTGATACTGTTCCGTAGACTGCTTGATATGTCTTTACATATATTATTAACAGTTAGGATATTCACAAATTTTATGAAACACTGGATTTTGATCTCATGTGTGCTTCTATCCAATCAAGAAATGAACAATGTAATCTCTAGTTAGCTCTTAGCCAGGATCAGCTGGAAAGATGACAAAGGACTTCTACAGCAGTAATGGAATGTAGTGCATTTGAATTTTAGCAACAGACTGTACCTTTTTTCAGGGATGGAAAGGTTGACTTGACTCAATAGATCGATCTTGGTTCCTGGAGGTCGATAAGAGACATCCCTTATCTCCAAACCCATAAAAAAAAAAGATTCCACATCTATTATTACCACCTCCACTATACAACCACAATATGTTCAATAATTCTGGACAGCCAAAATAGATAAATTATAAAGAGAAAACTGACTGAATTCAAGTTCAGCATGTTGCATGCCTTGTAAGTTCTGATGGAACTAGAGTTATCAGGAATACCATGTTTCTAATACTTATTAACCTCTAGGGTAAGGAAAATTGAAGAAAGAGAAATCATTTGGGAATTTAATAAAAAAAGTTGTTGAATGACTTTTTGGTTAAAGAGTGTATATGTTACAGAATAAGGTCTCACCACCTAATTAGCATAACTCCTTTCTCCACCAGTCCAGTGACTGAGCCATACGCTACAAAGGGGATTCAATCATCACGAAGTTAAACTAGGCAAATAGGTGAAAATTATGTCTTCTTGTTCAAAAAAGATCTCGAATTCCCTACACATAAGAGTAGAAAGGTACAAATCAGCGTGCCATTTTGTATTTTTCTTCTTTATGAATCCCCTTATCAGAATTACTGGCTTAGCCACTACTGTCACCTAGAAGAAGAGAAAAAAGAGGAAGCCTATGATATATCCATTGCTTCTGCTCGTATACAGATGATAAAAAGCGCCTGCAATAGTTATCAAGTTCCAGAAAAGCTCAAATACCACCAAACTCCTTCAGATAGACTAAACCTCTTAACCTAAGAAGTTAGCAAATTCATAACAACCGGAGCTATCGAGTATCCCCCATAGTGTTTATGAAATAAACCCAGAGAAAAGAAAGCAAACAAATAATGAAGAAAAGAGTAAACCGGGATACAGAGGGTTACACTTCTAGAAAATAAATACCTCTGCGAAGAATTATAGCGTGACTATGGAGTAAGTGAAATTCAGTTAATCAAAATTGTAAATGTAGGCAAGCAAACAACGTTGAACTTTACATGAATCAATTTTACTAAAATTAGGATAATATATAGTTATATAGTAGAAAACCGTACAAAATGATGGCAATTGAAAAGTGGAAAGTTAAGAGGGCTTTACTTCAAAACAGGAGTAATCGCAGGAAACGGATAGTGCTTCCGCCTTTCTGGAATAGAAATGAGAAAATTCAGCTGACAATTGTGAAATTATAGGATCCACTTCCAGTACGAACCGGAGAAAAAAACTAAGGAAGAAGGAGCAAGACTCACCTGAATCGCCCGGGAGGATAGGAAAACGTTGATGATCTTCCAAAAATGGAGGAGCTGGAACTGGAAATTAGTAGTGACAACGAGGGAAGTGGAATGCTCCCCATTTTCTGAACTCTGAGCCTGAGGAACAAAAATGTAACCAAAGAAAATTGGGGGAGATGGACGTTAGCGCCGCAATTGAGGTGGATTATTTAGATTGTGTTGTTGGGTTCCTGGGTTGTGAACGGGTCGAATGAAAGTTCTAATATTAATCATTTACTATTGATCACTATATTGCATTACAAAAATCAGGCACCAATCACTAACGAGTAACGACATTTACCATAACTAATCATTATTACTATATATATTACCAAATACCAATTACCATATTCTTTTTGCATCACTATTATCCACCATATTTATTAATTTTCAATACTAATCTTATGATCAATAATCACTTTTAATCACTATTGTCAATTGACAATCACTATTAACTATTATCATATAATTATCCATCACTCAACACAATCTGACAATAGACACTCACAAACACAATCGCTAGCTCTAACTATCATATAGTCTTTTTTTTTAATTTATGTAGCATTAGATCAACTAATATTTCAATTAAATTTTATCCTCCCTTAGTTTCATTTTGTTTGATTAAGATTGACTTGCACAAATTTTATGAAAATAAAGAAGACTTTTGAATTTTAATGATTTTAAATTAAAGATATGTATAATGTACTAAGATGTTCTTTGAATTTTATGATCGCAAATATGTCATATACGATATTGAATGTAGAAACTATTAAATATAGAAAGTAAAATTAATTTTTAAACATAAAAGTAAGATAAATAAATTAATGAATTTTTGTTTCTCAAATATCCAACCAATTAATTAATTCATTGCCGATTATTCTATTACTTCTTTTTTTTTCATGTTAGTAATGTACACTGGTCAAACTGAATCATAATTGGCCATTTCTTTTCTATTTCAACAATCTTATTTTCACACAGATAATTGTTTATAAATTTATATAATAAACTTCACCGTTTGCAAATTTGTTTGTTAACCCTTGAAGGGTTTGATCGGTAGTTGATTAACATTATTAAGGTATTAGTAATATAGAAATTGCTTTTTAGTTATAAAAAAGTTTATGTAATATTTTATAAGAGATTAATTAATTATTTCTATATTAGTTATTTTTATCTTTTATTCGATATAAAATGATATTCTCTTTTTCTCAATTTATGTAATAGATTTTTCCTTTTAGATCGTCCAAAAAAAAAATGACATATTTTCTTACTTAGCAACTGGCATCACTCCTGGTTACGTTCTTCTCCCTCTTATTTTCTCTGTTTTGCATGACATTCGGAATCATAAGGAGTCTCAAACGAGACTCAGTGTCAACGCTAGATCTCAAATATACAATACTCTTCCAGCCGCATACCTCTCTGCAATAATCCAAACAGAAAAGAACAGCTGGGAGGGCGTGAGGACTCTCATTTGTTTCTTTACGAATTTCTCTCCCTTTCTTAAAGAGCAAAAGGGGTGAAGAGGAGAGTTTCTGCTATATATATATTTGCTTCTGATTGATTAATTAACTGTTCATTTTCCAATTTATAACTATTTGTTCGATTATTAAGCAGGAGAGTTAATTGTAAAATTTTGGACCTTTGGAGGGAAGTAATTGAGACGTTATTTTTATAAGTCTTAAGAGTTAATCCTTTTCCGTAACCATTTTCTAGTTTTAAAAAATGACTTTAATAAGGAAAATTTGGTAAACATAATAAAGTCTTCTCTTATTTCTTTAACTTCATACATTGTCAAATGGTGTCATATAAATTGAAACGGAGAAATTACACATATAAATTCCTTCTTAACTTATTCATAGGCAAATTAAATACCATATTAATTTTATGTATAAATTACTTATTTCCTATCAACTATCAAATATAATATTACTTATAATGTAAAATTTAATATAACAAACGACCCCTACCTACTTTAGAAGTTCCTTAAAATTAGCTTTAGCCAAATTGGTTGTGTGAATAAGTGAGATGTGCGACTTCGTGGTCTAGGTGTAGAATACTAAAATATCTTTATCTAAAGACCAAATACCAGCATATATATTTTCAAAAAGATAACGATTCTATTTTTAACCATAAATTGTCGCATCGTGATTATATTCCCTGAAAATTACACTCTCTACGATTGCATCCTCTGCTTTTCATTCCTTGTCGATCATGTTTTATAATTTACTTTTATTATCTGTATAAAATAATCTTTAATAGGAGAAGGGCTAGCATAATTAGCCAGCCAATTATTCATGATTCATATCTTTAACAGTAACGTTGATGCTGAAAATTAACTCATGGTGACAAAGACACTGTTCTTATCAGGTTACATACAACTACAAAATTGTAAAGTGAATTTGATTCTTATGTGATATTATTGAAACATCGATAGCATGTCCAGTTAAAATGTTGCACAAATTTGTAACCGCTCATCAATAAAATTATTCAATTTAAACTTTTGTATCAATAAAATTACTTAATTATATTTGAGTACAAAAATCTAACATGGCAAGATGAAGCGAAAGCGTTAGTCGTAAATTGGTTTCTACCTCCTTGTCCTAAGTCCTAACTTTATGTTACCACAACCGTCAGCGATGGAATTATTGTAGAGAATATGTGGTAACCCTAATGGGTGGAGGGAGGACCAATTTATAGAGGTTATGACTTAATATGGTACATCCATCAAGTAATCAATGTACAGACGAGATCTATTTCTTATTAAATATTATTTATGGTATTACTTGGGTTATAAGTAAACTTGGGCCATAAGTAAAAAATAATTAATAATAATTCTTACATTCTCCCACTTGGCCCAATGACCATATAACATTAATATTTCATAAACATTAATTGCGCGTATAATAAATATCTTCTATAATGTCCATCATACATACCACAATATAACAAACTACTAATGCGAGTTATGGCGGTTGTACATAAATTTTAAGCTACATACTTCCTTCCATATACTACTACATTAGCAACTTATCATACTAGGTTCATAAGCTATAAAAACATATAACATTATGGTCCACAATAATGTCTCTTAGAGACTTATCTTGTAATATCTCAAAACAATAATGTGTACACCATTATGAGAAACAAGAAATTCATTAATGTATATCAAAAACACATAATTGAGCTCAGAGTGTAAAAACATCATAAATGTATTAATCATAAGTACAGCCAAGACCCGTTATTTGAACATGTTCTTTAAATGTCTTTGGTTGTAAGCCCTTTGTTAACAGATCTGCAATCATGAGATCAACTCTAATATTCTCAAGTTACACTCTTTGTTTCTGAACTTCTTCCTTGACAGTAAAGTATTTTAATTCCATATGTTTGGCACATTTAGAGTACTTATCGTTCTTGGAGAAGAATACTGTTGCAGCATTATCACAATAAATTTTCAGCGGCTTGGTAATGGTGTCGACAACCCCAAGTCCTGAAATGAAGTTCCACAGTTATAATGCATGAATTGTGGCTTCATAACATGACACAAACTTTCTTTGCAGTTTTTTTTTCCAGTGATCAATTCCAGGATTACTTTGATATCTTCCTATCATTCCGACCACAAAGCTAATATACAGTCGTGTGCAAATTTGAACATACATCAAACTTCCAACAATAGAAGATTAAGGAAATGATTTTATTTCCTTTCGTTCTACATCATTCTTTGGGCATTGCATGAGATTAAATTTGTCCCCTTTTTTAATAGAACTATTCCTGCTGAACAATTGTTCATATTAAATTTCTCTAGAACTCTTTCGATATACCTTTTTGAGACAGTTTCAATAATCCTTGTGATCTATCACGGAATATTTCTATTCCTATCACATAGGATACCTCACCCATATCTTTCATTTCAAAGTTCATAGAGGGAAAGTCATTCGTCTCACACAATTATGCCTAAATCATTAGCAGTAAGTAAAATGTCATCAACATACATGATGAAAAATATAACCTTACTCCCACTGATCTTTTAGTATATACATCGATCAACGATAATCTCCTTAAATCCAAAAGATGTTATGGTATCATTAAACTTTATATACTATTGTCATGAGTCTTGTTTGAATCCATATATCGACTTCTTTAGCTTACATACCATTTGATCTTTTCCTTTAATTTTGAAATCCTCTGGTTCGTCCATATAAACATCCTCCTCAATGTCTCTATTAAGAAAGACAGTTTTCACATCTATTTGATGTAACTCTAAATGATAATGAGTTACCAAAGCTAAAACAATTCTTAGTGAGTCTTTCTTTGAGACCGGTGAAAAGGTCTTTTTATAATCAATGCCTTCTTTTTTGAGTGTATCCCTTGGCAACAGGTCTGACTTTATATCGTTCAATATTACCATTTGAATCGCATTTGGTCTTGTAGACCCATCTACACCCGATTCTTTTAAAACTTTCTGGTAATTGAACAAGATCGCAGACTTTGTTGTATTCAATGGATTTTAACTCTTTATTCATGGCATCTATCCATTTATCAGACTCAGTGCTTTCTAGGGCCTGTGAAAATGAAATCGGATCTTTATTAATTCCCATGTCAAAATATGACTCTTGCAAAATAAATCACAAAATCATCTGAAATGGCTGATTTTCTTAATGGCACTGTTTGTGGTTCATTTGCGTCAGATACTTATGAGTTAGTTCCTTCTTGAAGTGACTCGCCCAAATGTTGTTCAACATTATTAAAGTGTTCTTCAACAAGAGGAACACCATTTGTGATTGGTGCGGAAGTAGGTTCATTCATGGGCAATGAAATACATATTTACCCTTACCTCATTCTCAAGGAATGAGAATGGACCTGGACATTGTTCTGATTCGTTATACTTTCCATAATATTCACCACCTCTATCTGACATAATGATTTTCACTTTCCTATCTAATTATTTTTCAACCTCATTAACGTACACTTTGAGAGTGTCCGCTGCTTGAGATTTTCTTTCAACAAATAGATAAATTCATAACATGAAAAGTCACCGATAAAGGTGATAAAATATTTTTCACCACCTAAAGATGGAACATCAAAGGGTCCGCAAATATCAATGTGTATAATTTTAAGAAGTTGAGTGCTCCTTGTGGCACCTTTCTTGGTATGCTTGGTTTGCTTTCCTTTAATGCAATCCAAACATATATCAAGATCAATAAAATTTAAATTCGAAAGAATATCATTCTTTACTAACCTTTTTAATCTTTCTTTGGATACATGACCCAAACGTTTATGTCATAAATGAGCAGAACTTTCATTTAGTGAACTACGTTTAATTATCAAGTTTCAATCTATATAAACCATCAATAAGAACACCAAAATCATAAAAAATAGTATTCTTATATAAATTGAAACAACCATGTCCAAACTTAAAATCAAATCCAGAAACATCAAGTCTTGAAAGAAAAATCAAATTCCTAGAAATTGAAGGAACATAAATAGTTTGTAATAGATCAAGGTGATGTCCAGTCTCCAAGATCAAACGATAAGTCCTTATGCCTTCAATTTTAGCCTTCATGCTATTTCCCATGAACAAGAAATTTTTATTTGGATTCATAGTTTGGATCGTAGTGAATCCCTGCAACATAATGGATACATGAGTAGTTGCACCAGAATCAAGCCACCGAGTATTATTAGGAACTTCTACTAAATTTGATTCGAAACATACAAAAGCACTAAATGTACCTTTCTTTTCAAACCAAGCTTTACGTTTCAGGCAATCTTTTTTATAGTGTCCTTTTTTTTTTACAAAAAATGACACACATCAACCTTGAGTTCCTTATGAGCATCTTGTGGAACTTTAACATGTGCTTTCTTTTTCTTAAACTTGTTGGCTTTCACTTTAAGTCCTTTAGCAGCTCCTTCACCCATGAGATTAATGGAACGACTTCCTTGTTTCTTAAGTCTTGACTCCTCTTGAGTAAGCATACTGGACAATTCACTAACATTCCACTTATCCTTAATAGTGTTATAGTTAATTTGGAATGGTCCATACTCAAGAGGCAATGAGTTCAGAATAAACTTAACCAAGAAGGTGTCATCCACTTTCATCCCCCAAGGTCGAAAGTCTTGCTGCAATGTTAGTCATCTCGATGATATGATTTTGCATACTGCGTGACCCATCAAACTTTATGGTCGTGAATTCAGCCATTAGTGTACCAGCGAGAGACTTATCAGCAAAACGAAAACGTTCTTCCATAAACTTCAGGTATTCTCCGGCACTTTCTATTTGTGGAATAGTGCTCTTAATGTTGTTATCAACCATCATTCGCACAAACATAATGCTCAATCTGTTAGAGCGCTCCCATGATTTATGAAAAGACTTCTCATCATCACTGCTCTTATCAATAATGGCAGTATGTTTGTCATTCAGCAAAGCCAAGTCAAGATCCATCACACCTAAGTGGAATTGGACTTATTCATGCCATTCAGAGAAGTTCAATCCATTGAACACAGTAACAGACGAAGCATGCGAATGAAGAGGAATAACTGCAAAAAAGACATGCATGCTCACAAATAAAAAAATAATGTGAATTCAGTAAAACGATAAAAATATATCGCAATTCTCCTTTGGGTAGATACTACAACACATTATCATAATTTAAATGCCATTTTTATCTTTAATAGGTAATTGAATAATTTTTATCAAACATATACGACATCTTTGGATATACAATATATGTTTGACTAAAATATTAATTTACCTCATAATTTTCACTATTCGTAGAATGATAGATTCACCTTTGGGTAAATTCTTAAGTTCTAGCAATAGTGAAAGTCAATTTATCTATTTATTTTTCAATATATAGGCATTTAATTAACCTTCATAGATAAATGACAATTTTATGAGTGCATAATTTTCTTAACCATACTAGTTTGTCCACTTTGGTGAGTAACAAGCTATATGAATACAAATGCATACATAATCTCATAAATTTTGTGTGCATGTAAATAATTTTAAATATTTTAGTTTGGCCACTTTGGTGACTAACAAACTATAGAAACATAATACATGCATCAAGTGATCATAATTATTACATGTGTAGACATTAATTTCTTTAGTTTGGCCACTTTGGTGACTAACAAACTATATAAATACAATACACACATAATATCATAAAATTTTGTGCATGTGAATAATTTTATACATTCTAGTTTGGCCACTTTGGTGACTAACAAACTATAGAAACATAATACATGCATCAAGTGATCATAAATATTATATGTGTAGACGTAAATTTCTCTAGTTTGGTCATTTTAGTGACTAACAAACAATTTAGCACAAAATACACACATTATTTATTACTTAGTATAATGACCACTTTAATTTGTTGCACAATTGATTCTTTTTTTTTTTTTTAAACCAAATTTGAGCTCGCAGATCTTTTATTCAATAAAAAGAAACACAGTACAAGTCCTCCTGGCCCAATTTTCAAAATGGAAAGTTAACCCATCTATGATTATCCTCTTTCTAAATTTAACCCTATTCCCAATTCTATCCCTAAATTTTGTTTCCAAAATCTCTTTTTTCATGTTTCTAGCTGTTCCTCCTTCTTGCTTCTTCCTTTCGTGAATTTTCCGTTTCTCTGATGCCTTCTTTGGAGCAATATTCAACCATGGGTGTGTGATACTACTCTTCTTCAACCTCTTCAAAAGGTACTGCCCCTGTTTATCTTCCTCCTCCTTTGAGCATCTAATCTTTCCCTTTTTTGTAGGTGTATGTATCGATTCAAAGTTCCATCTGGAGTCTAAGAGGAACTTAATCCAAAGCTTCGACTTCCATGTCTCAAGTATGTTTCCTTCCCTATTTATGCCTTGATATCTAAATCTCACAGCGTGGATAGCTATAGATTCAAATATGTTCTCTTTGACACTAGAAGGTGCGCATTGGAATCGATTCTGAATGTGTGGTCCTCGATATTTGCTGGTGGAACTCTTTGTAAACTCATATCCAAGACTAGTTAGCTCTTTTTTTCTCACCAATTTAACACCCTGGTAATGGCACAAAATGTAACTATAAAAACTGGCAAGACTATTCGCTTCTTGATTAATGTATCTGTCATCCATGCTGGCTGCTTATATCTGTTATCTTTCTTGTCTTGATTCTCAAGTTTGTGATTTGTGCTTTATCCATGTTTAGAATCCTTCTGCACTTTGCTGGTAGTTGCTCAAATTGTCTGTATTCATGTATATGCAACATACTGTATGCACTATTAGCAATGGCGTCTGCTAATTGATTACCTTCTCTATATACATGCTGAACTTTGAAGCTATTTTTTTCCACCATTTGTATTACATCGTCCATTATTTCTAGCATCTCCCAAGGTATTTTCCATTCTCTAAGTATCATTTTCTTGATACCTAGTGAATCTGTTTCAATTATGACCCTCTGAACTGCTATCGCCTTCGCCATATTATTTGTGGTAGTTCCTATCTCTTAAGATTTTGCAAAGACCAAGTCTCCCCTTTCATCTCTTTTACAAAAAGCATAAGTGTTGATTCCTGGATTACCTCTTGATGATCCATCTGTGTTGCACTTAAACCAGCTTGCTTCTGGCATCTTCCAGGTCACACTTTTATGAAATAGTTTAGGTTTGTAATGTGTGAAAAAAATAACCATTTCCTCCCAAGTATCTGGAAATTGAATCCAAGGCCAGGTTTGTTTTATGAACTGGCTTATTGTGTTTTGACACTGTTGAACCAGTTTGAAAAAACTCACATCTCTTTCATATCTCCTAGCATTTCTCCGCTTCCATAATTCCCACATAAGAGTCGCAGGTTCTATCTTGAAGATCTTTTGTATTTTGGTAGTACTCTTGACTTCCACTATGAGTTTATAAGTTGTTGTAAATGCACTCCATCTAGTTCAATACCTGCACAGAAAGCAAATTTCTTCCATAGCTTTTGGGCTATGGGAGATGTTAGAAAAACATGTTCCATCGATTCTTGTTCATAATCTTCACAACAATGACATCTCGAGGCAATTTGTATCCTCATTATCTTCAGATTATCATCTGTGGAGATTCTCTTTCTCAACACCCTCCAAAGGAAGAAACTGATTTTGAGGGGTAAACCATTTATCCACACATTCGACAACCATTCTTTTTCTTCTCTCTTTTTCCTCAGCATCTTGAATGCTGATTGGACTGTGAAGTCCCCATTGGTATTGCTCATCCATATAGGGCAGTCTGCTTCATAACCAATCTCTGGTTTGATACTCTCAATGATGAAGTTAGTCATGTCTTCAGAGATAAAACTCTGAAGTTTCTTTTTTTTCCAGCCATTAATATCAATAAAATCTTTTACCTCCAAGTCTGATCTTTCTATGCCTCCGTCCTCTATAAAGTATAAAGCTCATTGTTGTGTCCAATTGTCATACCAAAAGCTACACTTTCCTGCTCTTATTTTCCACCAAATTTCATGTTCCACCTCTTCCCTAATCTGAATCAGCATTTTCCAAATATGTGATGCTCCACTCCCTTTGGCCATGATTGGATGATCTTTTTTGCAATACTTGTTCCACATAAAAGTTCCCCACAATGAGTTGGTAGCCACTCTAAAATTCCACCACAACTTAGCAAACAAAGCCTTAGCAACATGATGAAGAGATCTAAATCCTACTCCACCTTCCTTAGGGGGTAACACAGGTCGTCCCAAGCCACCCAATGTTTACCCTTCAAACCTCCTATTTTCCCCCAAAAAAACTTTGCAAAGATTTGATGAATCTTATTTATGATACCTTTAGGAGGGTTCATTGTTGATAGTAGGTAAACAGGCATAGATTGTAGTACGTGAGCAATAAGTATTTGTCTTCCCCCATAAGATAAGAACTTGTTCTGCCAGCACATCACTCTTTTGTTGATTTTACCTAGGATGTATTCAAAATGTGATACCTTCTTTCTTCCATAAAACACTGGACATCCTAGGTATGTGAATGGAAAATGACCTTGTTGTATCCCCGTCCATCTTCTTAGTCTCTGTCCTGATATAATAGGAGCCTTCTCATGAAGGTAGAAAAAACACTTGTTCTTGTTAATCATCTGTCCTGATACTTGTTCATAATCTGCTAGGACCTTCATCATCTTTTTCACAGATTTCTTATCCCCTGAGCAAAACAAAATGGTATCATCCACATATGACAAGTGATTTATGTTTGGAGACCATTTCGGCATGCCATAACCCTTAAACTCACCATCTTCATGTAATTTATTCAGTCCACGGGCCAATACCTCTGCAGCTATGATAAACAAAGTAGGTGATAAGGGATCCCCTTGCTTTAAGCCCTTAGATGACTAAAACAACCCATAAGACTGCCCATTTACATAATACTGAGTACCAATTATTTGATATTAATCTCCAAATCATGTCAATCATTTTCTCCGAAAATCCAAACTTCCTTAGTACCTTCGTAAGGAATATCCAAGAGACCCGATCATATGCTTTAGCCATATCCAACTTCACCACTACATTTTGCCACTTATTTCTCATATTGATATCTCTTATTATTTCTTGTGCGAGGAGCACGTTTTCTGTAATGCTTCTTCCTCGAATGAAACCAGATTGGTTTGGGGAGATGAGTGCTGGTAGGATATTAGCAATTCTTTCATGTATCAATCTTGAGATGATTTTATTAATAAAAGTACTCAAACTTATTGGCCTTAAATCGATAAAATTGTGGACATTTTCTTTTTTCGAAATCAGGATTAGATTTGTATGAGTAATGAACCTGGGCAATGTCTGTCCACAAAAAAATGCCCTGACCATTTTAGAAATGTCCTCATTAATAATTTCCCAGCACACTTGGAAAAAAGTTCCTGAAAATCCATCCGGCCCACTGGTGTTGTCCCCATTCAGCATGTAAACCACCGTTTTAATCTCCTCCAAGCTTGGTAGTTCATCCATCTTATCATTCTGCTCTGCCGAGATCACACGAGGTATATTATCGATCATCTCTAAATTATTCATCACATCTGCTTCTCGAAACTGGTCCCCAAAGAAATCAACAGTTGTCTCTCCTATTTGGTCATTAGTCTTGAAAACATCTCCATGATTGGATTGAATCTCTCATATATGCAGCTTTTTCCTTCTCCCTTTGACATATGTATGATAGAATTTTGTATTCCTATCCCCATCCTTGAACCATCTCATACCTGCCTTTTGCCTCCAAAATTCCTCTTGAATGTTGAGATATTTTTTAAGCTCCGCTTCAGCTTTACTAAGATCACTCCTATTAGCCTGTGTTGGGCTAATTTCGAGCTGAATCTCCTTAACCCTAATCATATCTTCAAGTGTAGCCATTTTCTCAAAAATGTTCCCATAAACTTTTTTGTTCCACTCCCCTAATGCTGTCTTTACTTTCTTCATTTTGGCCTTAAATTCTAAGAATGGATTCCCAACAAAATCAATGCACCATGCTTTCCTCACTATCTCCAAAAATTGTGGATGTCTAGTCCAAAAATTTAGAAATTTAAAAGGTTTGACCACATTTGTTTCTTCAGAACTACACATCATTAGTAAGAGAGCATGATCTGAACCCTGTCTAATTAGGTGTTGGACACTACTACTCGGCAGTATATCCAGGAACTCATGGTTGACCATAATCCTATCTAAACATTTGAAGATACATCCCTCTTCTATCCTCTCATTCCACCATGTAAATTTGCTTCCTGTGGTTGGTAATTCCACAAGTGCATTATTGTTAACACAATGTGCAAAGTCAGCAGCCTCTGAGTGAGTAAAAGGGAGACCTCCTAGCTTCTCCTCTGCATTTAGTATAACATTAAAATCACCCTCCACTATCCATGGGTCACTATTTCCACCTGAGAGCTCCTCAATTTCTTCCCACAACTCCATTCTGTTTGTCTCAGTACATCTTGCGTACACCGAGGTAATATAATGGTTTATTGTGAAAAAGAAATTTCAAAGTTATTTGTTGATGAGTATCGCTTGTCACATGACCTGTCCACTGCTCCCTCCAAAAAATCCAAATCTTCGATGAAGAATTCGTCATTGCATTATCAAAACCCAATCCCCTCTTATAAACCTCTATCTCATATGGATCTTGAAAAGGTTCCAGAAGAGCAATGAATGAAAAATGATGTCTCTTATTCATTTCTATTAATCTCTCAAATGATTTTTGAGAATTAACAGATCTGATGTTCCAAAATAATATTTGTCCTATCATTGGGTAATGATATTCCCTTTCTCCTTACTTCTCCTTGTCTTTACCTGAAGTGGTATTATAGTATGCATAATCATATTCTTCTTATAACCACTTTTCAGCTCCTCCATCTGTCGAGGTGATAAGTCTCCTGCCTTGCTGGCACTCTGGATGTTCATCTCCATATCGTCATCTTCTCTTTCCTCTTGATACCTTTGCTTCTGAGTTGGCGTCAACTCATGAATATATGGAATACTTTTATCTCCCGATTTTGACTCAACTATGCATAAAGGGTCTGGTGTTGACTCTTTATTCCTCTCCTTCTCGGGGTCCCATAACGTAATTTCTTTGCCTTCATTTCTGTTCAAAAACATTGTGTCCTCTCCTTGCTTATTTTGTGTTTTATCATCTATCCCTTGTCCATCATTCTCCTTTTCATGATCAACTGAACTTTTCCCCAAAGCTTCATGGCTTGTGAAGTTATCCTCCACCCACTTCCTTGTTGACACTTCCACTTTTGTGTTAGATGTCTCCTCAATCTGATCTGGATCCTTTAGTGCTTCAAACTGATCATTCAACTTCCACCCTTCTTTTTCCTTCTCCATAAGTTTTGGCTTAGGATTCCAAACTTGTGTACTGGCTCTATGCTCATTATATCTCAGAATTGTGTGATTCCTTCTATTTCTTTGTTCATGAAATTGTTCCCTAGCTTGTTCTGTTTCCCCTTTCTCTCCTGACTTAACTTTGCCCCCATCTGTTCTTGTGTGTCCCATCTCCTTGTGACCTTTATTTTCTTGCTTCTCCAACTCAATCTCCATACTAGCTTCATTTTTCTTTGGATATAATTCCGGGTGTAGCGCATAACACTCTTGTTCATTGTGTCCTTGTAGCCTACAAGTCACACAGTATTTAGGAACGTAATCGTATTTTATTCTGATCCACTTTTCCACCACCTCACCAGACTGTTTCCTAACCCCAATATTGATTCGTTTTGGAAATTCTCCCTGAAGGTTCACCTCCACTTTGACCCTGGCACAGCTGGGTCTTGTCTGATTTTTGGTCGCCATGTCCACCTGTAATGGCTTACCAACTGCTGCAGCGAGAGAAAAAATCGCTTCCTTCACAAAAAAAATCGGTGGAAGTCCCGGAAAGGATATCCATGCTATGGCTGTTGTCGTTTCCTCCTCCGGGTCGAACATAGGATCCCATTTGAGTGTCCTCATGGGATACGACCATTGTCGTTGTGTCAAATAAAAAACTGGCTTGGAAAGCAATTTGACATAATCCTCCATAATCTCAGCTCTGATAAAAACATGTCGAGTACCCAATAATTCAATATTGCATTCTCCTTTTAGCTCACATTGTTTCGGGATTATCTTCCGTAATTCCTTGATTTCTGGCATTCCATAAGAGAACTTCCAAATCACAGCATATTGTAAATTTTCCTTGTAAATCATATGTGTGACTTCCTCCTCATCCCATACAATTCTTGGTTCCCCGTGAAGATATGAAATTGGTCTCATTGTTACTGGTTTAGTATCCACTAAGCTTGGACGTAAAATTGCGGCATAGTTTCTTGTAAGCACTGGATCTGCTAGGGTTTGACCAGTCTCCGGAGGAGGCTGGCCAGAAGTGGTGGCCATGGCCATCGGTGAATCAAGGTAAAAGTGTATTTAGGTTTGCGGTGTGCTAAAATTGCATCAACTATTTTCTCAGGTGTTGCACAATTGATTCATTACCACATAAACTAACAGAATAATAATATTATTTTAATAATAAAGCCAATAAATTGTGCAATAAAACAAAATTGTTCATTGTCGTTATTGATAGCATCAAGTCACTCAACATTAAATGAAGAAAGGCCTTCAAATTAAGTTCATTCATTTATTATTATTTTAAGGGGAAAAGGACAAATATACCCGAACTATCGTAAATGGTATGTAGATATCATTCGTCATACTTTTGAGACATTGGTGCCCCTGCCATCCAAAAAGTAGAGCATATATACCATTTATACTAACGAACATACACGTGTCATAATCTTATCCGCCAATTAAATATCGAATCGACGGATAAGATTGTGTCACGTGTCCCTATTTAGTCTTCCGTTAGAGTGAAGGGCATATATGCTCTAGTTTTTAGACGGCAGGGGCATCAATGTCCCAATAATATGATGGAGGATATTTGCATACCATTTACGGTAGCTCGAGGGTATATTTGTCCTTTTTCCCTTATTTTAATATAATTATAAAGCCAATAACTGATGCGGAAAAGGTTAAAAAACAATTCTTCAAAAAATGCCGCATCCATATAACCCTCTTTTCGATTATTTTACTTTATTAATTTAAACAATTAACTATCAAAGTTTCTATGAAATAGTCAAATTAAATTGTTCAAAAGAAAATGACGATTGTTCATAACCATCTTCGCATATCGCACGATTTTTTATTTTTTATTTTTAATCCCAAATTATGAACCATAAATATAATTTTACGTATACATATCATGTAAATATTATTCATAAAGATGCAAGATATACGAAGATTATCCGTTCAAACAATCCAGGCTCTGATGCCACATGTAAGATTAAATACTTCAATACATAATATCACGATCTTTAACATGATAATCTTACATAGAGATTGTTAGGGCACATACCTGATGAGGAAGACATCATCACAGAGAGAAGCGAAAGCGTTAGTCGTAAATTGGTTTCTACCTCATTGCCCTAACTTTATGTTACCACAACCGTCAGCGATGGAATTATTGTAGAGAATATGTGGTAACCCTAATGGGTGGAGGGAGGACCAATTTATAAGGTTATGACTTAATCTGGTACATTCATCAAGTAACCAATGTACGGACGAGATCTATTCCTTATTAAATATTATTTATGGTATTACTTGGTTATAAGTAAACTTGGACCATAAGTAAGAAATAATTAATAATAATTCTTACACAGAACTCCTAAAACGATTTTGTTAAATAATACGTATATGTAGTAGATGTTGAAATTTACTTCTTTATATATTGAATCGTTTTAATGAAAACTCTAGCTTCATTATTAATTTGTAACATGCATCGGTGAATTTACATGTAAAATATATAGGCACGTGAATTTGTAGTCCCTCTGTGAAGCTAAGTATTTTATGTATATATTTTTTTTTACAATTGATATATATATATTATTGAATTAATTACCTAGAAGATTAGAAATCAATTCTCACTAAATACATGTTTTCTTCTTTTATTTATTTATTTAATGATGCATCCGTATTCTAGAAATCTTAAATTCGTCGCTGTAAGATAATATGAAATAAGGAATCATGCATTTATGCTTCAAGATATTTATAAATCTCCTCTTTTTCTTTTTTTTTGTTTAGCTACTATTGGTAGTCTTTAAAGAAACACATGTTATACAAAAAAGTAAGATTCCAGATAAATAATTAATTAAACGAAGACGAAGACGGATATTGGATATAACTTAAAGGACAATATAATAGTACCTAGCTGATCATGAGTATATCAACTTGCAGCAATAATGCAATTAAACAGTTCATATTCAATTAAATTATTCAAATCCTCAATTTTTTCCCCACTATATAAAGACCTCTCGATCGCCTCTCTACAATCAAAACAGAGAACTCAAACAAATATCTAGCTAACTAGTATAATTTACTACAACAAAATAATACAACAATGGAATCGAGCCGCAAGCGATTAGGGCTCATCAAAGGGAAGCTAGTGAAGTCTTTGTACCGAGCAGCCGCTGTAGCATCTAAACCGATTCAACATGACGGATTCGTCGCGAATCAAGTGATGGACCGTCCTTCAACTATTCATCATCTTCATCAGAATCAGAATCATCAGCCAATTAAGCAAAAATTGGTTCCTTATAATCCAAATAGTACTACTTTCTCATCATCAACTACTAGTGCTGCAGTAGATTTCATACTGAACCAGGAGCAAGTGACCGTTCCACAAAAGCCCAAAATTTCTTTTTACGTCCCACCTGATCAGAGTACTCATGATCGTGAGTACTCTAATAGTAGTAGCAGTACTAGTACTGCTACTACTTATTATGCCAAGGCGACGCTTGACAATGAAAGCGTAGATCTAAAAGCAGCTAGTTACATATCAAGTGTTCAGGAGCGTTTTAGGCTTGAACGTGTTAATTCTGAACGGAAGGCGCAGTGTTTTTAACATCCTCACGAGGATGTTTGTGTTGCAGCTTCACCAGTAAAACAGGACTTGCTATATGCACCTATATGGCTATATATGTGTAATTACAAAAGTCTTGTAGATTAATGTAAGACTTCAAAATGATTAAAGTTTTGATGGAGTACCTATTATATGTAGTATAAGTAACTTCGTCTCATGTAGCACTATTTGATTGGGTACGGAATCTTTCTTTTGAAATATGTGATGTAATTAAGCAATTCAGAAATATCTATATAGCTATAATTTCTACAATAGTATCTTCTTCATTTTAGGATTTTAAATTTAAATTATTCACTTTTGTGAATGAAAAGAAAATGTACCTAGCTACCATCCTTTTGGATTCCAATCTGAATCAGATTTTAAGTTTGATTAATTTATTAGAATTGATAAAGTGGATTCGTAGTGAAATTTAGTGATTTGATTATAATTCAATTCATGATGATTAGAAATAGAAAGTTGATATTCTTCTATCATTGATAAATAATTTATTCCACAATCTATGAAGTATTTCTTTCTTAGAGTGCCTCGGCGCGCAACTCTTTTTCAAAAAATAAAAATAAATTACTATTACTACTATCTTAGTTAGTAGTAGTACATAGTTATTAACTTGTTTTTATAAAAATAAATTTAATTCCTTTTACACAAAGAATGGAGTATATAATTTAAATCCTATATTTAATATATATTCCTCTTTGATTAATTCCATATAGTACATGCACTCTAGCCCCCCTCCAATGAACATATGAAGACGCAAGCGAGAGTGAACCAACAACACCAATTCAAATTAGTCAGGCTCCAATACAAATATTAAAAGCTTGTTTTTTTATTTCCTTTCTTTTTGGAAACTTATACACAAAGCCAATACTTTCTGTCAACTTCTTCCATAAAGCAAAAGCCGTAATATATCACACACCATGTATACTTTCTTCTCTTTTTTAATACCATGCGTGCATTTCACTCTCAAGTTTAGCATCGATCCTCTTCCTCCCTCCCTCCTTCTCCACTAAGCAAAATCACTATATATATTATTGCCTTAAAAAAACACCACTTATTCACAAATAAAGTTAGTACAGAAATCATCAATTATATATAAAAGAATGGGAACAGATTGGGCGCCATCGGTGATAGCTGTTGGATTGTTCATATTATTATCTCCAGGATTGTTATTCCAGTTGCCATCAAGAACAAGATTCTGCGAATTCGGGAATATGTACACTAGCGGGATTGCAGTACTTGTTCATGCCATATTGTACTTTTGTTTATTTACAATTTTGACTGTCGCCTTTAATCTTCACATATGGTCCGATTTTTCATTTCCTCCTATTAAGATTTAGTATTTTTATTGTTATGTTTTGTTTCTTTAGTCATGATATATATACTACTATAATTCATAGGTAATTGTTAAAGTGTTTAATTATGTTTATGAATTAGTGTTTTTTAGTATTGATTATGTTTGTGCTACTATAAGTTTCATTTAATAATGGTACGGTTATATATATAGACGAATTCAGAATTTTGATTGGGGTTTTGGATTTTTGAAATTACAGTTTTATTGGATTTTGATTAATTATTTATAGATAGTAAGTGAATTTCTTAAACATGAATACTTACAAGTTTTGGCTAATGACTAGAACTCTAGCATTGTCCTAATTGCATGAGCTACTATGATTCATTAATTATCTTTAACGTTTTGAATTGAATACGCAAAATTCTCCCGCAATATGCTCATTGCTTGTATATAATATTTTATGGAATTTCGTCATGTTGATAATTTACTCCTAGATTTACTAATTAAATAGCCATTAAATTAAAAATGGATATGAGAATGCAATAACAGAGAAAGATGCATAATATATATTCTGATATGTGATGGAGAAAAGACTTATTTATTTAACAACATTAGCGTTCAACAGACAGATGTGGACGTGCCGGAGTGGTTATCGGGCATGACTAGAAATCATGTGGGCTCTGCCCGCGCAGGTTCGAATCCTGCCGTCCACGTTTTCGCTTTTATTTTCCTTTTGGTCCTTTGAGAGAATTTTTCTGAAGAAAAGCAAATTATCATGTCATTTAATTACTTTATCTTGCAATTATTAACTCAGAAATAATTATTCTCCGTAATGAGATAAAATATGAACTACTATCTCTTACCCACAAACTAAATGATTCCTAAAGAAATATCATAAAATATAGTAGTCAATAGGCATAAGGGTGACAATTGGGTGGGTTTGGGTCAAATTTGAGCGGGTCATAATGGGTTAAGACAATAATGGGGTCAATACCCAATCCAATCCAAATTTGCTTGGGTCAAAATGGATTAGGTAATAGATTACATAACAGATCAAGATTCAATTCGATTTTTACTAAGCTTTATTGTCTTACTTGGTCTTTTAAAATATTTTAGTACCTAATAAAAATAATAATTATCATGGTTATATATAACATATCAGATTGAAAAAAAAAAGTTAACAATATTTCTCATAAAATCAATTTAGGTTATATATCAACCCAATTTTTAATGAGTTGGATTGAAATAGGTTAAACTCATAAATGAATGGGTCAATAACCCACACAAACTTAAACGAGTTGGATGAATTGCACGAGTTGAGTTTGATTTTTCCACCCGAGGCGCATCAGGTGGGCTTGACAAGAGCTTATTAGAGAGCCAATAAGCTTTGACCGGGTTGGCGTCCTCCATCACATCATGGGACGGGTTTAATTGCCTTATCCACCACCATAACTACTCCGTAAACTAGCAGTGGATCCAAGTGAAAGCACGAGGGTTCATTTGAATTTTTTTATATGAAAAAATACATTATTATATATACAAAATTAAAATTATATGATAAATGTTTTTTTTTTTAAATCACTTTTTCATTATTTGAATTTCTTACAAAAATCCTACCTCCGTCACAATAAACTAGTGTTCATCTACTCAAGTTATTACAATAATCAATTGGAATAAAAAAAAACTAGAAAGTGCTATAGATTTTCATATATTCCTTTACTTTATACGATTCTCATCATTTTGGTATTATTCTAAAGCTAGCTCTTCCTTTTTTTTTATCTATGTACTTTTTTTTCTCTCTTCTTCTGTTCATTTGAATACAGATACAATTCAAGATAATAATAATAAAAAATGAACGACTGGGCTGGTCCGATCATAGCAACAGCACTATTTGGATTTCTATCTCCAGGATTATTGTTTCAAATGCCAGGGAAGATTACGCCAGTTGATTTCATGAACATGAAGACCAGTTGGATTTCCATATTGGTTCATGCTCTCCTCTTTGGTTTGATCCTCATTCTTGTACTTGTTAATTTCAATCTACATCTATATGTTTAAAATTAAATTAATTACTAGCTAGACTAGTTAGCCAATACAGGCAGACTGTTTTATCTAATATAAATAAACATGCTTCTTTCAGTGCTCTATTATTAATATTTTGTTACCACTGAGGAAGTTCATCTTTATTAGGAAGAATAATAATTTAAATATATATAAACTGCAGAAGATTCTTTTCAGTTAAATATGTTTGTATTCAATACTTCAAGCCAGAGGCTTTAACCTCTCATTTGTTAGACTACTCACGGAGCCTGCTGTGTAACTTAAATACATTCCAATTTTGCAATACGAGTGAAATACACCCTTAAATTTTTGTGAAACACCCCTCTTGGCTTTTTATTAAAAGCTTCATGCTCCCACAAGAGTTTGAGACCACTCGTTATGTCATGTGATAGATCGTGTATCTAAATATAGTTAGTCAAGTAGAAGAGTGTTTTTAAGGTTGTCAATAATTCAGAAATGAAAGTATGAAACTAATAATTTACGTCAAGTTCATAAGTGTTTTCAATACTTCTCTCAAATTTCATTCTCATGTGTAATAATGACTTCCTTGGATAATTCAAAGGGCCAAGACCAATATACCAAATGTGGCCTGTGGGCGCTAGTGCTTGCTTGATTAATTATCTGATGTATACCTAGAGATAATGTTGGGTGCTATGCATATATTATTCATTCATCAAAAAGAACTCTACTACTGTTCATAATCAAACATCAAATGTTCTTTTTCTCTTCTTAAATTACGCGCCAACCAAAAAAGCTCACATAACTTAAATTGAAATGGAGTTGAACAGTAGTTGTCCCTTGGACGGAGATACAAATATCAAAAGGGAAAGAGGCAAACCCAGCCACGACAACCATCACCCTGGCCTAGGTAAAAAGCAAGTGATAAAAAATGGAAGTCCGAGTTGATCACTTGGATGTCAATGACAACATTACTTGCATCCTCAGACCCAAAAAAAAGTAGAAACAAATAGACTTATGGATGATAAATGTAGCGCTTGACTCCTACATTACATAGCAAATCTATCAGGCCAAAGTGTCAAGTATCAAATTCTACAGGTCAATTTTCACCTTCGGAAAGTTTAATTCCACAAGCTATGGTAAAATTTAGCCATAACCTGAGCACGAATTGCAAGTGCCAAGGCTTTGGCGAAGAAATCATTTCGTGACAACTTTCTTCTCAAAGAAAATGTAGGCAGGCGGATCAACTACTACTTCAGACACTAAAAAGCACTCACAGTCACAAGGCAACTTTTTTCAATTAACAAAATCCACCAAACTTATCTCTTGTTCATCAACTTATAGCAGCATTGAGAAAAAAAGGATGAATCATGATGACCAACATCCAATAGAGTTTGAAAAAAAAGTGAGGAATAATGATCAGAAAAATCCGAGAGCAAGAGGAACTTGTAAGAAAATAACATCAGGCAGCAAAGACAGGCCTCTCATTCAATTCCATTAAATTCAGACTGTAGCCAAGTTCATCAATCAAATTCACCAAACCATTACGGGAAAAAATAGTCTCTCAATGACTCTGAAATGGAAGCAATATCTTGCTATAGTACTAACTTTGCCGAATCAATCAAGAAAACATGACCAGGAGATAATTTAACGCAGAACCCTTCAAGCATAGTTCAAGCGAAATATGTCATTCTGCACGTAGAAACTTCCTCCTTGTGTTGGAATCAAGTGAAACATCTGCAGTCCATGAAAGGATAGAAGCATGACATTATAAATTTGAGATGCCTATAACTTTTGAAAACTTGAAAATATAAACTTTTTCAATATTAAATTATGAAACAACAAATTCATCACAGATTGTTAGTTCTGAAACAAGCAAACAGAAAAGCACACTATGTGCTTGGAAAGTAAGATCAGGTGCAAGAGGAATGAGAATAAAGAGTAGAATAAATAAGAAAGTGAAATTCAACAAATATCCTTTTTTATCTCCTTAAATATGTATGCAACGATGCAAGAAAATCTGTCTACATAACCAGTTTACAGTATTGAGCCAAAACCACCAAATCAAATAATACTCTATTTTTGTAATGAACATAGGAGCCTGCACTACAATGAGAGGAGAAGAAAACAATCAGTTTTTGTTTGGAAGGACAGGAAAGTTCTCTACAAAAGCTAGTTGATTTTTTATTTCATTTTTCTCTTAAGCGATAATGTCTGCAAAGCTAGTTGTTTTTCAAACATAAAGTGGCAACACAAGACCAAACGATCAAACATTAGCTGTGAGTCAAAAAGAAAAACATCAAAATTAGTCAAAGCACGATACTCTACCATTACAAGACTGTATCTGACCCTTCTTCAGTCTGGTATAACAACCTTCCTAATTAAACTTTTCATTAATGCATTGTATTGTTCGATGAGGCTGTGAGAAATATAAGGGTGTTCACAATGTGGACAGCCAAGAGATTTACAGATTTGCTTAGTTTATCTGATTGAAATTATAGAGCAATATTTTATTTTATTTTTGATAACCGAGATATCCATCTGTGACCCGCCCTTTGGACCAATCACAGCCTTCTAAACTCGGTGGATAATGGGCCCGCCCCTCTACCCTTCTCCACTTTAATATCGGGCTTCGCTTTGCATGGTGTGGGGCTTGAACCTGCGACCTAAGCCACAAATCCTCCACCTTTTGCCACTCGAGCTAGGCCTTGGGGGCAATTTATAGAGCAATATAAGGGTATTCAATTGCATTTTCTGCCAAATCAAATAATAATAGAGCCACACCACTCATTTTACATTTTGAACACACGTTTTTCTATTCACATTGTTGAAAGAAGTGATATCATCGATAAAGACAAGGAAGAAAGAGCACTTAAACACACACAAAGTGAATTCTATCAAATAATTGTAAAGTTGCTCCAGTCAGTCCAATCAAATAATTATAGAAACAAGCAACACATTACTGTTTATATGTAGGAACTTTTCCTTGAACTATTTGAAAGAAGTGACATCAAGAAAAAGACCACGCAGAAGGAGCACTTAAGCACATGTACATAGGTTGAATTCAAAGACAGTAGAATTCAAATGTATTTTCATATCCATAAGGAATCTTGGTAGAACAGTCCGACTGGTGGTACACAAGTAAACAACATTTTCAAGTTAAGACAAAATAGCCTAAACTTAAAAAAATATGAGTAAGGCTGCCACACTTAATCCAGGAGAACTCGTCTTCATACTATCCCAAAGTAAATGAATAAAACAATCAACTGATCAAGGGCAAATAATAGACTATCCTAGGATATCACAGTACACACACGGATTTCTTAATGGCTTCTTAAGAAACTGCAGAGTTATCTTTGCCATGTAATTCAGCTATCCTACTAGAACAATGATATAATCAAGGCCACACTAGCGGGTATTTTGTGTCACAATCTTACATTAAACCATTGATTCTTAAGACCATAGCCTCTAGTTTGTCCCTTCAAATAATAGCAACTGAAAAACAAAAATCCACCTGCCTTATCCAAATTTGAGAATCTCATGTAGTCCCATTTCCCTACCACAAGGACCACCAGTTCAAGCAATCCACAAATGGTTAAACAGTAAACTAGTGTCATACATTCCTTAAAGTACTACACGTCTACTGCAGTAATCATTACATTCATGTATCAGGATTGCACTCAATGCACTGATATTCGAAATGCAAATCTAGGCGTCTTACTCCCTTGTTTAAGTAACTGATCTAAGATTCTGCCAGAAAACCACAACAAATAATCAAACACAGTAAGGCAGCATCATTTAAATTCGAAAACAAAAGATTCAAGTTCGAACATTTCTCCTCCTTCTTATTTCAATGATATTATTATTTCAAATATAAGAATATGAAGTCAAAATCATATTTTTTGTGAAATGAAATAAAAAAGATATAGTAACATTAGCAACAAGAGGAACAAGTTATATTTCTACAATTTTAAATAAATAGAAAATCAAAATCGAGTACTCAATCATGAATAATGCATGCAAATACAGCAAGCCTTAACATACAATCAATGGACCAAACACATAAAATTAAACCCTAGCGGCATCTGATACAGACAAGCGATTTAACCCTAACTACATTGCCTGTCAATGTAACAATCGGAAAGCAGTCCTGAAAATAATCAAATGGAGTAGTAGTAGAAGAAGTAAAAAAAATACCTGACTGAACTTGAGGGCGTGTTGTTCGCCGGGAAGGCTGAGATTGCCGCTGACAAAGACAAGCATTCCCCCGGCAGCACCAGAGGGCTGACAATCAACGGTGTTGATCTGATGCTTGCACTGCTGGAAAGGTAGACCGGTGAGCTTACCGGAGATGCTTTGAGTCCCCTGATACTTCTGACCCTCAAAAGACAATACAGAACTTTCCTGGTAGACGCTAGCAAGTCCGGCCCGATTGGTATCGAAGGTGGTGTAGTAGTAGTCCACAAATGCCTTCGCTACGGCGTCGGGATCCATTAGCAAATCGGAAAATCGGTCGCTCTACTTCCCACTCTGATTTGCGTGTGTCAACTCAAGTCCAACAGCACGCTGCTGGCATGTAGCTTGCTAATATATAGGAAGAGCCCTTTTTATTATTGCGCCGCACGCTCTTATTGTCTGAGCTGGTTACAAGGCTAAGGGCCCAAAGTATAAGATTGGACTTACTTCATCAAGTCTTATACTAACAGCCCAGCCTGTTTGGATGATTATTGCATTAGTTTGTTCAAACATGTCATTTAATTTGTATTCATTTTTTCACACATAAACCTATAAAAATTAAACTTTAGATGAATCCAACGATTAAACAAAAAAATGATAATTAATGTTAAAACTGTATATCAAAGAGCACAATATGGACTATAATTATCGTCTGGATTGTAGTTCGCAATGCTCATTACTTCTTTTGATTTCAAGGATTTGCGCACTCTTTGAACTTTTTGCATTGTGCCCATCGGTGTTGCTGAGCATTGGAGTCATTGTGGTCAGCAATTCTCTCTTGTGCTTCACACTTTTTTCAATTTTCAGTAATCGGTATGAATCTTCACTCTTAACCCTCTAACACAAGTCAATTGTATTACTTCAATTCCTTGAAATCAAATACATTTCAT